TGATCTCGCAGCAAGGACCCCGTAAGGAGTCTCGCCGCGGCATTCTGCACCCGCTGGAGCTTCTGGGTCAGTCTCAGGGGCAGCCCCACGTAGAGCGAGTTACAATAATCCAGTCTGGAGGTGACCGTCGCGTGGATCACAGTGGCTAGGTCAGGGCGAGAGAGGTAAGGAGCCAACTGCTTAGCTTGGCGGAGATGAAAAAATGCTGCCTTTGTTATAGCTACAATCTGCGCCTCCATGGAAAGGGAGGTGTCGAAGATTACACCCAAACTCTTAACGGATGGCGCTGGCACTAATTGCGCCCCCGCAAGAGATGGGAGCTGCCCCCCCCATCCCATATCGTCCCGACCCAGCCAAAGGACCTCTGTCTTTGAAGGATTTAACTTCAGCTGGCTCCCAAGTAACCATCCAGCCACAGCTTCCAAACATCTGATCAGTGTGTGTCTGGGGCCGAGTTAGGATGGCCATCCGTCAACAGATAGAGTTGGGTGTCATCAGCATACTGATGGCAGCCCAACCCAAAACTCCGGACAAGCTGGGTGAGGGGGCGCATAAAGATGTTGAAAAGCATCGGGGAGAGCATTGCTATCAAAATTTTATTTCTATTACTTTGAATGGATTATGTCTTATCCCCATCTTACCTTGCTTGGTTTGTTTTTCTAAAACAGGCTACTTCACAATCCTAATACACCTACTAACATTTGAGTGCTCATACAGTTAAGAAGCCATAACATACCTTGCCGTTCTTAGGAATCCACAACTCAAATTCTGCCAGAGAATGAAACCACTATTGGAAACAATAATCTTGGGCATCACAGACCTAAGAGAGACCTACTTGCTCACAGAAAACTTTTATGTGGGAGGTTATGGTTAGGTTGAACTGCCCTAAAGAATAAAAGGCCACAATCTTACCTCACTTACCTGGAAGTAGCCCAAATGAAGTAAATAGTACTTTTAAGAAGAATTTGTTAGGATTGCACTGTTAATCATTAACTTTCACAGCTCTCAGATCTTAATCACTTAGGCACAGATCTTATATCTAACTTTTCCATTTATATCGAAATTATCCGAGGTGATCAGAAATCCTACTTAAAAGATTCTGTAAGAGGCCATGATAGACCCAAAGGTCCCTTTCCTCTAGGTTCTTACGAGTTATGTATTAGTTTAATTCAAGCCATAGCCACTTCCATGATGGGCTACAAGCATTTTCACTGTGTAACAAGGCAAGGAAGGCTTTGCAGAATTTGGGATTTAATTCCTTCTGCCCCCACCCCCATGATATGCCAGTTGATATGCCACAAACTAGTAACATTGTGTGAAACTGTCTAGCAAAGCTGATTTTTAACATCCTAAGCAGTAATTGCAGAATAGCGCTCAAATATTCATTTTTCCACTACACAGCAAGCTTCAAGTTATAGAGGAATACAAACTGCTGGCACAGCTCTAAATGTATATCTTGATTTAAGAGAATACAAACTATGCCTGTATTTAGTTTATTCAGAGTTTAAAATCTGAAATTGTCACAGGATCATAGTAGTTCCTTGCCCTGATCCAACTCTAATCAGATTCTAAAAAAAGAAAGATACGTAGGTATGACTACTTGCACCCGAAACACAGGTACAAATAAGCATCCCAGTGAAAGCAATGCAGTTAGATAGTATCCACTTTCAATGTGTATTCCAATTTATGTCCTATTTGTACAAGTACTGTACTTCACTATCCAGGAAGTGATATGAATACAACCATCTACTTGCCCATAGTTTGTTTCAGGCATATAAGTTCAGACTCTTACTTTCCAAAGTCTGTGTATTTGTAGAGCACGAAATCAACTAGAAACTGTCACTAGAAACACTATGGTGTCCTCTTTTTTTTGCTGGTATACATTGTGGACTTTAATGCCCGCCACAATATAGAAAAGGCAGAAAAAATAATTATATAATATTATAGAAGTTGATATTAGTTGATAAATCATTAACCTTCACTACATTAGCTATATGAGACCCCAGAACCTCTGCCATGCAGATGCCCCAACAGATGACATAGAAAAGGGTCGTTGAAGGTAAAGTTTTTGTTAAATTACTTCTCTTAAAATGTCACCTAAATTAGTGTGCTGTACTGGAGTGCCCAGTCACCACGGGCAAGGGCCTAGATCACAGAATCTGCTCTCAGCAACAGACAACCCATTTGTGAGCAGAATTAGTGGTAGAACAAGGATTTGCACATGTGTTAAATCATTCTAATATCTATACTTGTAGACACTACCACTGGAATAAGAACAGACTGTTCTTCACATTGAAAACCACACAACCATCATGTTACAAATAGGCTTACTTCACAACACAAGTAATCATCTGCTACTTGACAGACAGAAGAGTTTCTATGGGACCAATACTATGAAAGACAATTGGGCGATCAGTTTTCCAGATTCAATACCATTTGGTAGTACATGAAATATATCTGCACTATGGCAGATGCCTGGCTTGATGTCATCAAGATTTAAAGCCTTATCTCACCATCCCAAATCCCTTAGAGAGCATGCTTCATATGACAAAAGCTTATATTAACACTCTCCAATTTACAGAAAGTGTCCATTAGGCCATTTTAATGTGATTCATACATACATTTTAATTCTTACTGCACGTTTAACCCTGAATTGCCATAGTGGTGAGATGGCATTTGTTTGATTATTTTAATAATCTGATTTGAAGGCTGATAAGGGGAAGAAAGATAGAACCATCCACTTTATTTAAAAGGAGCTGAAATTTGGGTTGTCTTTCTTTCTCTTCCCCTACCCTCCAATCCTGTCAGTTGGCTATAGGCCTTCTCTCAACTGAGCGAACAGCCAAGACAAAAAACAAAACAGAGATGATCAAGGCAACAGTCATGTTGTGGGTATAAGCCTCAGCCTAAAAAAGAAAGGTTCAAATGTTAGATCATACAAAATAAGTGGTGTGGTATCCTACATCATCAAAACAATGTCATGGTGATTGGGGCAAGAAGGGTCATTCCCACAAGTATGCACACATACTGTCAAGCACTCTTTTCAAGCCTATCAGTGTAAGTCTACTTAGCTACCTGACAATACCCATAGAAAGGCTCAAAATTCAACAAACTGTAATAGAAGGAAGGCCCAAAATAGGGCTGCCCCAAAGTTGAAGACGACACCTAGCAGATTCCCCATTTTATGGCTGTGTCCTATTTTGCAGGCCTACATTTCCTAACACAGCAAGAAGAAAAATGGGGTTCTATTCCTGTCTCTTATCTCCCCACTGCCACTTGTATATCCAACTTCATTTTGCTTCTGAACTACCAACTCCTGTGGAAAGTTTATAGGTTATAACAAACAGGTACGAAAAGGCCTCCAGGAACAGCTTCAGAGGAGAAGTCGAGAGGGTGCAGTAACTTAATTATTCTGTAGCCTACAAACCACATTCCCACAGTTTATAAGCCTAACACAACAGGGTTTTTCCAACTTAAAGGGGGGAAAAACATTCCATTCCTCACAGAGATCACCCTTCCACTACCTTATCAGTAAAGAAATTATAATCGAATTATACTTAACAGGAAGGGGGGGGAGAAGAGTTGGAAACAGGACAAGTGGAAGTTTCAGTTTGAAACCCCGCACTGACCCAAGCTCACCCCACACACCCTGACCCCACACCCAAGCCCTGAAGTCATTTCAAACATGAAGCGGCACACAGGCAACGGTGGCCTGAAGCAGTTACTTGAACCGTCCCAACTTTCAGGGAGTCATCTCCAGTGACAGGCAGAGGCCCAACTCAGCTCAGCCACAGGAAGGAAAACACCGCATTCAGGGGCGAGGAGGGTGACCCCACGGTCATTCCAGTCGAGGGGCAAGATGGGGGGAGTGAGGGGGTACTGTTTAAATATAACCTAGCACCCCAACTTTAATGCCCCCCCCAGGAAAAGGACAGTGCTTGAATTTTGAGAAACTCTGCCGGGAGACTGAAACATAGTTCCTTCAGCGGGCGGCCAGTTCTGAAAGTGCCCGACCCCCCCCCCACCGCAACCCCAAAGAGCCCACACGCCCCCCCTCCCCCAGCCTACCTGCTGCAGGGGCATTTCCAAGCCTAGCGGTGCCCCCCGGCAGCTCCCAGAGTTGAGAAGCAGGAAGGGCCGCGTGTGCGAGAGAGGGAGGAAGGCAGAGACCCGGGCACACGCGCGCTGTTGTGTGTCCGGGTGTGCGCTGCGCTGCGCGGTTGCCCAGGCCAGAGGAAGAAGGAGCGTGTGTGTGTGCGCGCGCGTTTGTGTGTCCCCCTCCCCCCGCTCGGCTCCGCGCCCCCCTCCTTCCCTCTCCCTCCTTCGCCCGGCTCCCAGTCACAGACGCGGCCTCGGCGCACGTGTGCGAAACGTCACCGCCGCCGAGTCCGGGGGTGAAGCGAAAAGGAGACCAGCGGGACAGAGAGCCTCCCCCTTCCCCCACGGCCATGCTGCCGAGGCAGACCCTGAACCCCCCGCCGCCCCTAGGCAAGGGGGGGGCAGCCGGATGGCGCGTCCCCTCCCCACGGCCGCCCCCTCCAGTGCAGCCGCACACAAGAGCCGAGGTCCCGTGCCCCGCGCTGCGATGTCACGGGTGTCCCAGTCCGGCAAGCACGCTGCTTGCAACACCGGCCTCTGCTACGCTCTCTTTGTTCCAGCCACCAGAAATTGAGGGGGGAGACGGGCGCAAGAGACGCCTCCCCCCCCCGACCCTCTTCCTCAAGGGAACGGCACCCGCGGCCCCCCTGCGTGTTTTTGCACCGGGTGGAGATGACTCTGATCGCTTCCCTCCCCCCACAATCCCGGCCCACAAGAGCCCACCCTACGCCAAGAGGGGCCAGGAAATAATCATAATACAGTAATAAAGTTTCTAGCAAAACTGAACGATCCAAGGCAGGCGGGCTTCCTCTCCCACCCCACCCCCCACACCCCGGTGTGGGAGGAGGGCTGAGCCCCGCCAGACATGCACAAGATTGGGGGGGGGGGAGGGAGGCATTTACCGAGGGTCGGCCTGCACTTTCCAGGGCGGGCTGCAGCAACACCGTCCGTCCGGAGGGCCCGTGCGGGGTGCAGCACAAGGCGCTGCCGCTGCCCACGAGACTGGGCCGGGCGCCCTCCGCCCCGCCGCCCGCCGCCCCGGGAAAGCAGGAGGAGACCCAAGGCGCCCCCAGCGCGGATGCCCCGGAACTGCTGCGGATCTGGAGGAAAGCAGCGGCGGGAGCGAAGCGAGCAGGGAAGCTGACGGCGACGGCGGAGGCCGCCGCCGCGGAGTCCATGGGAGCCGAGGGCGGGCGAGCAGCGAGGGCGTGCGGCTGCAGTGCTCTCCTCCGCATCCTTCCCCTTGTGGGTCTGCCTGCGCCGGAGCGGAGTCTCCTCCCACCCTTGGCGCTGCTCCGCCGCCGCCGCCGCCCCCCGCCCGGCCTGCCGGGCTCTTTCGCCGCTCGATGCCCGCGCCGGACTCGAAATGGTCCGGGCCGGGGGTAGCGGGGGGTCTGCGGCTGCCGGAGGCGTCGTCGCGAGAGCGAGCGAGCCCGCGCGGCGGGCAGATGCCACGGATGGAGCCCGGCCGCTGCCGCGCGCTGGGGCTGCCTGGAAAATGGCTCCAGGAAGCAGCGGCAGCGGCTGCCGCTGACAATGAATGAAGGGAAGGGAGAAGGGTTACGCGCCAAGAGCCTCCCGCGAAACTCAGATTTCCCGCCCGCTTTTCAAATCGGATTTGCATAGCCAGGCCCCCTCGCCACGCCGAGCCTGCAGCGCCGTCTCATTGGTTTGCTCTTTCGGCCGGGCCTTCCAATCGCGAGGGGCTTCGGGACTTTGCCGGCTCCTCATTGGGCTGCGGAGGCGCGGGGTTGCCCTGTTTTGCATAGTGCTTGTCCATTGGCTGTGGCTTCGGGGGATTCCCTTCTGAGCGGCTGGGATTCCGTACGCCGGGCTGACTGCTTTCCCTCCTCCTCCTGCTTCTCCTGGCGCTGAGCTGCGCGCGTTCCCGAGCTTGGAAAAGGCAGGGAAAGCCCGCAGGTGCCTGGCTGAAGGCCAGCGAAATTGGTCTCACAAGTGAGTGAATGGGAGAACTCAGAACTCGTCAGAAATTACATTTTATAGCCCGGCCTTAGACTTTTTTTTGCAGAAGTAAGCACTGATTTCAATGAGACATACAGTACTTCGAATAAGTTTGATCGGCGGTATTAGCCAAGTAACTGAGACTGAGTCCCATTGACCTCAGGGATCTTAATCAGACATTATATGTATATGACAGCGCTGTAAATAAGTCTTGTCTAGACTTGCCAGGTGTTATGAAAATGAATGTAGCCTAGTAACTTTTGTTTCCATTGCTGCATTGCTAGGGGGTTGGACTAGATGACCCTTGGTGTGTGCCTTCCAACTCTACAATTCTATGATCCTTTGAAACAGATATGCAATTATTTACCCAAGACAAGAAGTGATCCAAATGGCAGCTGTTGTTGTTTAAATTATAAACAAATATTGTTCAAACATACCCTTTTACATTCCAGAATATACTTCCCCAGATGATGTGAACCTCTTCTTTCCTGTCCATTGTAATATAAGTTATTTTCTTTTTATCCCGAATGTTCTTCCATAGGCATTTTGTGCAGAGAAAAAGTGTTGTGACCATATTCCCTTGCATTGAATTTGGAAGTCTGGAGGATACTGCATTGAACAGGTCACGTTGAAAAGTAATTAGAACTATTGCTAATTTATTAATCCCTTTTGATTTTGCTTGCTTAAGTTCTCCATCTCCTGCTAAGGCTTTTCAGATTCCTCAAACCAATCACAGGCCTGGGATTCAGCCTGAAGTCTAGAAACCCTAGATCACTATCCTAACTCGCATGTCTAAAACTGAACTACATATCTTTCCTAAGCAACTGTCCTCTCCTTTATTAGACTCTCTATGAAATGAGAGACAAAATGAGAGAGAAATGAGGGATACGGGTGGCGCTGTGGGTTAAATCACAGAGCCTAGGACTTGCTGATCAGAAGGTTGGCGGTTTGAATCCCCATGACGGGGTGAGCTCCCATTGCTCGGTCCCTGCTCCTGCCAACCTAGCAGTTTGAAAGCACCTCAAAGTGCAAGTAGATAAATAGGTACCGCTCAGGTGGGAAGGTAAACGGTGTTTCCGTGTGCTGCTCTGGTTCACCAGAAGCGGCTTAGTCATGCTGGCCACATGACCCAGAAGCTGTATGCAGGCTCCCTCGGCCAATAAAGTGAGATGAGCGCCGCAACCCCAGAGTCGGCCACGACTGGACCTAATGGTCAGGGGCCCCTTTACCTTTATCTTATGAAATGACAGCATTGCCATCCCTCCTTTTGACCAGCCATGAAACTCTGGCTTTGATTTTTCTCTCTCCCCTGCCTCTCTGCCTCTGCTTCTCCCACCCAACCTGCGACCAGATCACAGCTTCTCCCTGTACAATATGAAAATGCACCTCTCCCTCTCTGCCCCTTGGATAAAAGTCTTCATTATTTCAATCTCTCTCTCTTTCAGCCTTCAGATATTTTCAAAACATTTGATCAAAGCCATGGAAAAGGGGAATGCCATGACTCAGGGATCATAGACCATCTGCTATGTGTTCAGGTCCCAGATTTAATCCCTGGCATCTCTGGGTAGGGCTTGGAGAGTCTTTGGTCTAAAATCCTGGAAAGCCGCAACCAATGAAGGTGGACATTAGTGAGCTAGGTGGACCAATGGTCTGACTCAGCATAAAGAAGCGCCCTTTCTTCCTAAATCCATGTGTGCAGTGGGGCCCCAGTCTGCTCTGGAGGGTTCCTTAACCCCCTAGAGCAGATTTAGGGGGCACATGGGAGGCTGAAGGAGGTAGGAAAAGAAGAAGCCCTGTTGTACAAATAGATGCCTGCTCACCATATGTTGCTCTACCACTCACACTTAGCTCAAATAGGTGTAATTTTGTTTGCCACATTGATTCTATGCTACCTTTTCCTCAGCTTCCAGTCTTCCCCTCTTTTGGGAATTTGTTGCCTTTTATTCCCTCTGTTATTACTTCCATGATTCTCATTTACACTGTAAGCTCCTTGTGACCTGCCTTGTTTACTTATGTTTCTTTGTAAGATGTACGTTGAGGTTTTTTATAAATAATAATCTTTTTAAAATCTTAGAGAATTTCACAGAACTATTCTTCAGGCATTGTGTGTGATGTGTAACCATAGCACATTTGTAGCCTAAACAATGTCTTTTAAAGCAGCAAAGAATGTATTTTAAAAGCACCAGTCAACAGCATTTCCTCAAGATATTATCTATCAAGAACAGAAGCAGCCAGAATGATTAATGGTGATTATACTGAAGTGTTGGGGAGACTGGGGTTTGTTTTTATTGTTCCATAAGGCCTTGTTGTAATCTTAATTTCCTTTTGTAATTTTTGATATCTACACCGTATCTTTCTCTCTTTTTTACTGTAAATCACCTTAAGATTTTTCTGTAAGGCATTGAACATATGAAATAAATAATAGAGCTCATTTTGAATTCTCCTTTTTGCTAGTTTCTGCAGAAAGAAACTGTGTATAGGATGTCACTAAAGCAAATTTGCAGCTTCCTATCTAACAAATTGAATGTAGGTTAACTGGAATGTATGTAGCAAATTAAACTGGGATTAAGAAAAAAAACCCCTCAATCCTACTTTTGGCAAAGGCACTAGTCCATCTGTTACTATAAAAGTGGGTTATTCCCTTTCAATTTTTATTCTTTTCTCCTTGAAAGTGGAAGGACTATTGACTTCCTGTTAAGCACTGGCTTCCTATTTCTGGTAAGACTTTTATCAGCTAACTATTTCTTTAGCTTTTGCAAATAGATTTCCCTTGTGCAACTTTGGGCATATTTCCTGAAATGGAAAAGTTTGCCACTTTTATTTAATTGAAATATTGGTCATTTACTTTTTGACTTAACTTCTTCAATGTAGCTTATAAGAAACTGAAAACAATACATACCGAAAGCAAAGTGGGTTGATTTAAATCAAGACAACTGAAATCAGTGAGGAAACAAAGGCCTATTTAAATTATTGAGCTAAATCAAATTTCCCATTGATGCCTCTTTATAGTTCATAAACAGTTGTTCAAATCTAATTAGGAAACCACATTGACTTACAAATAAGGCTGTGTTCCTATATTGAAGATATGCACTATTGGCTGCGGCAAGGCATGCGGGTGGCGCTGTGGTCTAAACCACTAAGCCTCTTGGGCTTGCTGATCAGAAGGTTGGTGGTTCAAATCCAGGAGGGAGCTCCCATTGCTCTGTCCCAGTTTTTGCCAACCTAACAGTTTGAAAGCACACCAGTGCAAATAGGTAAATAGGTACCGCTGCACCTGGAAGGTAAACCTCTTTTCCATGCACTCTGGCACTCGTCACGGTGTCCCATTGCACTAGAACCATTTTAGTCATGCTGGTCACATGACCTGGAAAGCTATCTGTGGACAAACACTGGCTCCCTCAGTCTGAAAGGGAGATGAGCGCCACACCCCATAGTCACCTTTAAATGGACTTAACCATCCAGGCATCCTTTACCTTTACCTTTGCATATTGCCTGTGGCAGAAATACCACTGCTGTACTACATGGGATTCAGCTTCCTAGGTATGCCTATACAGTGGTACCTCGGGTTAAGTACTTAATTCATTCTGGAGGGCCATTCTTAACCTGAAACTGTTCTTAACCTGAAGCACCACTTTAGCTAATGGGGCCTCCCGCTGCCGCTGTGCCGCCGGAGCACGATTTCTGTTCTCATCCTGAAGCAAAGTTCTTAACCTGAAGCACTATTTCTGGGTTAGCGGAGTGTGTAACCTGAAGCGTATGTAACCTGAAGCGTATGTAACCTGAGTTACCATTGTACAACACTGTACCCATACAGCTGCTGAATTGCTGAAAATTCACTAGCAGGGTGGCGTTGTAAACCAGAGGGTGGGGTCCCAGCATAAGGTAAAGGTACCCCGGACCATTAGGTCCAGTCACAGACGACTCTGGGGTTGCAGCGCTCATGTCGCTTTACTGGCCGAGGGAGCTGGCGTTTGTCCGCAGACAGCTTCCAGGTCATGTGGCCAGCATGACTAAGCTGCTTCTGGCAAAACCAGAGCAGCACACAGAAACGCCGTTTACCTACTTGCACTGTGACGTGCTTTCGAACTGCTAGGTGGGCAGGAGCTGGGACTGAACAACGGGAGCTCACCCCGTTGTGGGGATTCGAACCACCAACCTCTGATCGGCAAGCCCTAGGCTCAGTGGTTTAGAGTCTTTAGACCACAGCACCACCCTGTCCTCACTCAGGCCACACCCTGTTGATGGTGCAACTTTACACTGACATCAGAACCAGCAGAAGGAAATTCCTTCCCATTTTGTTCAACAGAGAGGAATGGGGTGTGGGGGGGGGGGTGGAATAGCTGCTCTGTGGTACCTATATCACCATTTATTTATAAAAAGATTTATATATGGCCAGTGCTTTTTTTCCTAAAAATATGTTTAGGGGTACTCTCATTTTGACTCAAGAAAACCACCATTTTATAGTTCAAAATTAGGAAATAAATACAGTAAATGGACAAAAGTACAAAGATTCACTAAATGTTTAGGGGTATGCGTACCCCCCCCCAGAAAAAAGCACTGTATATGGCTATATCACAGAAGACATCGAAGTCCAATTTAAATTAGAGATCATCAACTGTTACAGAAAGATGTTTTCTTAATTGCCTTCATAAGCTTAGAAGAAAAGTTTCAGCAGGTGTTCAAAGGTTAACACAGAAGATGCTGCTAAATCTCTATTGGCAGAGCATCCCACTGGACAGGGCCCAGTGGTCTGCACTCAATGGACTAGGGGGACTATCCTAGTCCCCTAGATGTTCCCCTGGCGACTCCTTCCCAAAGCCTAGGAAGCTTCTGCCCAGCTTAGGAAGAAAGACGCAATGCTCAGACATACAACATCGCCCTCATAAGCGGGAGCCTCTGGCCCTATCTGTTCCCCTACGAAAATTTCACCACACGCCACTGACCGGGCCGATGACACTAAAGCTCAATTTCTTGTTACTGTCAGATGAGTCTCACCAGCTCAGGGTATGCCCAACAGCTCCTGCAGATGATCTTAATGACTGCACTGGGATGAAAGGGTTCAAGAGGTCCCTAAGATACCCTAAATGATGGAAGGCTTTGCAAAGGAATACAATGACCATGACACATTATGGGATATGTCGCAAGCCCCAGTACACCACTACCCATATACAAACCCCACACAAGGATGCTACAACTCAGATGATAGGTACTAAGGAGCATTTGGCAATGTACGTGGTTCTCTTCCACAACCCCATTTATCTTCATAATAACCCTATGAGGTAGACTAGGATAAACAATTCCAACCATTCCTAAGTCACCCACGTAGCTTAATAGCTGAGTGTGGATTTAAATCCAGGTCTCTCTAGTTTTTGCCCAACACACAGCAAAGACAAGCTAAAAAACAAAACAAAACGCACAGATCCAGTTCATTATCAGTTTCACACGGTGATAACCCCATGGTTACAAAACAGAGGCTGTAAAAGTTCTTCTGATTGTCATTCCACATTCATGTTTATACAATCCTCTTTTGCTTTTTTTTAAAAAAGTGCCCATATTGCTTTGTTATTGACACTACAGAAGGGGGGGGGGAATCTTAAAAGTTCTGTTGTAGTGAATGGCACACAGGGGAGGAAAGAGTGGCCTTTTTCAAAGATAAGATAAAAGAAACAAATTTCGGCAAGCAGCTCTTCTGCCCCAATGCAAATGGTAACAAAAAAGACCTATGAAACTTTATAAAACAAGTGCCCCGTTACACTAAAGGGGCTGGGGGAAAACAACCCAGGAAACTGCTTCCAGAAATGCAGGATACTTCTAGAGGAGAGGTGGCTAACCTGTGGCCTCAGAACTTCATGCAGCCCCCACCCCAAGAATTTGTGATGCCTTAAGACCCCCCCCCATTTGTTTTTAAAAGCATGCAGCGGGGGAGGAATAAATGTAATTTTGTTCTGACTGCTTCTGTCTCCATATGGGATGTCAAGATGCCAAAAACCTTTTTTGCGTGTGTGTGTGTGTGTGTGTGTGAGAGAGAGAGAGAGAGAGAGAGAGAGAGAGAGAGCTGTCTGTCTTTCTGCCTGCCTGCCTGTCTACACATACACTTGGTTCATAGCTGTCAAGTGTCCCTTATTTGAAGGGACAGTCCCTTATTCCAGCGCCATGTCCCGCTGCTGTCCCTTATTGATGGATGTCCCTTAAATGATGTCCCTTAAATTTCAAAGGAAGCAGCTCCTCTCTCTCCCTCCCTGCCGGCCAGGGAGGAGGGAGGCTCCAACTGTGTTGCTTGGCTGTGTTGCTCCCAATAAGAAGTCTAAGAACGACTGGGGGGTGGAGCTTGCATGCCGTGTGTGGCTAGTTAATGCAAGCTGAGGGGGGTTTTGAATGCTGGATGCCATTTTGTTGCACGTGCTGCTGCAAACTTTGCAGTGCAAAGCCAGGCCGGGGAGCCATCTTAAGTTGAGGCTGCATAGGCCTTGTGGTGCATGTGATTCAGATTCTATTCAGTTGAACCTCTGATTACAAAGTTGGTTGGACAGTGTTCTCGAAGCTACCCAGCATGAGTTTGACCAGACTGCAGGAGGACAGGAAGACTGGAGTGCCTGGAACAGGTGAGGCTGCAGGTCCCTTATTTTGGCTGCTGGTCCCCTATTTTCAAGGCTGCTGGTCCCTTATTTTCAAGGCTGCTGGTCCCTTGTTTTCAAATCTGTAAGTTGACAGCTATGACTTGGTTACCAACCGCTTTATAAGTTCCCTGCTGTAATACTGTGATGCCTAAAGTTTTTGTGCTACCTCAAAGCCCCCCAAAGTCTGCCCATTTTAAAACAAGTAATTTCTCCTCCCTCAACCATTTCCACAATTCCCCAGATGTGATTCTGTGCAGCCCAAAGTGCTTTGTGGCACCCTACCCAAATGTTTCCTTTTTAAAAACATTAATGGCTGGCAGCATCCCCTTCTACTATTAGGTCATGTCCTACTTTTACATGCGGCCCCTGGAAGATGGACCATTGGTCAACGTGGCCCTCAGACAAAAAGATTTGAACCATTCCTGTCCTAAAGAATCATCTTTGATTGGTGTGGTTTGAGTATGCAAAACTGCAGGAAGTGTAATGATTAATTTGATGAAAAGGACAGTTGCCTTCACTGGTAGATTAGTTTATTTTGCTCCCAAAAAAGTTAAATAGTGCTGTAAACTAGTACAGTGGTACCTCGGCTTACATACGCTTCAGGTTACAGACTTCGCTAACCCAGAAATAGTACCTCGGGTTAAGAAATTTGCTTCAGGATGAGAACAGAAATCGCGCGGTGGTGGCGCCGGCAGCGGGAGGCCCCATTAGTTAAAGTGGTGCTTCAGGTTAAGAACAGTTTCGGGTTAAGAACAGACCTCCAGAACGAATTAAGTACTTAACCCAAGGTGCCACTGTACTCATAGTGTGTGTGTGTGTGTGTGTGTGTGTGTGTGTAAAATTTAAAAGAAGTTCAGTGGTGTGGGAAAGAAAGTAGTTGTTTGGCCATTTGTCTTAAAATGTAACAACTACCCTATTCAAGAAGCGGTCATATCTCAATCCACTTAGGGCACATTGATAGCTTCCATTTTACATTTTGAAACAAACGCATAGATGTTCTACACATCGACCAGCAGGGGTCATAGCTTCACAGGTGATTCCCCCTAAAAGAGAGATACACACATAGAGAAAGACATGCAACACAACACACACCTGTGTAAAGGAACTTTTGCAATTTCTAAAAGTGCAATTGAGTCAATTGTAATTGTTTTAGAATACATTCAGATACATTTCAAAAAGCAATTGCTCTTTCAGAAGCAAATTGCTCAGAACACCTTTAGAAAAACCTTCAAAGGCCTAGGGCACACACGTTACAGTTGTCAGGTGAAAACACCTGCAAATCACTTCACGTAGTTTGGGTTGATACATGATAATTTGGAATGCCGGCTGGCAGTTGGGGCAGGGAGAGTAAGAAGCAAGGAGAGAATGGAGTTCTGATCTGAATGGAAGAACTTAACACTGCAGCATTTTGTTACAGGGCCCCACTTGTTTTTTGTATTCTCTTCTGCTTTTCTTTTCTTTTTAAGCAGCCTGAGTATATGCATTTATGTATATATTGGAGGACTCCAGAGGTATGAGGTAATGTGACACTGAACTTTGAGGCTTTGTACACACCCACACACTGCCCCAAGTAATTCTGGAGACTGTAGTTTACCCCTCAAGTTATACTCCCCACCAACCTTAACAAACTACAGTGTCCAGAATTCTTTGAGGAAGGAAATGTGCTTTAAAAGTATAGTATGTATGCAGGCTGTTTCTGCTTTTCACTGTATCCAGATGAACAAGTATCAACAAGTGTCAGGAGTCCATAATGAGGATGGATGAATGTTAATACCACAAAGCTTAATCCAGGTAAACCGATGACAGCAGTAACAGAGGTTGCCCTGCCCTGTAAGGATCAGGTTTGCAGCATGGGTATACTCTTTGGTCACAGGTAGACACAGGACTCTCTCCAAATGGCACCGAACTCCAGCTTTCATCCTCCCTGACCAGAGAGCAGACTGACCGGTCTGATAGGAGTTACGCATCCTGCAACACCTAGAGGGTACCACCTCAGCTACCCCCGTTTTAGATCCATCCTTTCACAAGTGCCATCCATGGCACAAATCACCTTCCACCAAGTCTGAGTTGTTTGGTGTAGCAGCTGGTCCCCAGAGAGCCAGTGTGGTGTAGTGGTTAAGAGCGGTAGTCTTGCAATCTGGGGAACTGGGTTCGCGTCTCCGCTCCTCCACATGCAGCTGCTGGGTGACCTTGGGCCAATCACACTTTGAAGTCTCTCAGCCCCACTCACCTCACAGAGTGTTTGTTGTGGGGGAGGAAGGGAAAGGAGAATGTTAGCCACTTTGAGACTCCTTTGGGAAGTGATAAAGCACGATATCAAATCCAAACTCTTCTTCTTCAGAAGAAGAATGACCTCGCTAGTTATATACACTTGGACAATGTACAGGTCAGGTTATTGTAAACAGGCCGTGTTTAAAAGGCATTCAGAAAGTTCCATGTGGTTCAACAGCCTGATTATTAACAGCCTTGTGCCGTAATGAATATATTTTGCCTTTGCTGAAAGATTTGCAAAGGTTTACAGTGTATTTTCAGATGCAATCCGAAGGATGGCTTTGACTTGTGGGATGAGTAACTTTTTTTAGCCCCAAAGCCACGTTTCCTCTTGGCCAATCCACCTTGGAATATACATTCAAAAAATGCACTCTTTTGAAAACAAACAAACATATTTTTATGGGTCAATGAAATTACATATATGGCAGCATCCCATCGAAAATTAAGAAGCAAATTAAATAAGAGAAAACATATACAAAGAATAAGAAGAAAATGTATACTAGATAAAGGAACAAAAAGTTTACAAATATTTGTAATAAGGTAAAAAGGTAAAGGACCCCTGGACGGTTAAGTACCTATTTAAGTACCTAGTTTTCTACTTGCACTGGTGTGAATTTGAATTACTAGGTTGGCAGAAGCTGGGACAGAGCAATGGGAGCTCACCCCGTTGCGGGGATTCAAAACGCTGACCTTCCAATTGGCAAGCCCAAGAGGCTCAGTTTACCTTATATTTGCAATAGTAACTATACCAAGCAAATAATTTATTTTAAGAAAACAGTTTTGCAATAAAAAAATGTTAACAGTACATCTTGAGGAATAAACAAAAAAATAGCATTATTTAGAGTATGTTAAGTAATCAAACATGCTTAGCCTCCAGGTTTGCATCTGCAAGAAATCCCACTCCACTTCCTTACTGAATTGACTTGGCATCAAGGCAGAACTCTTGTATTGTAAGCTGCCTTGAACCTAATGAATCTGTTATTTTTGTGTAATATGAACTTCCACTATATTCTATGAAGCTGAGATAGTCTGAGAAACCCTAGCTAGCTTTGGTCAGCTACAAAGGGCAGGAGTCAAGAGGGCATGTCACTGGGCACCCTGTCAACGTTGTTGTCAATAGAACCCTTTCTGCCTTCAGGTTTTGCAAACTGGAATCGTCCTGAGGGGGGTGGGACAGAATTATTCTGCCTGACAGCTTCCAGCAAAAGCTGACATTAAATTAAATTACAATTCTGCTTTGTACAGAACTGGAGAGAGATGAGAAGCCTAACAGGGAAAGTGACAGAACTGGGAGGCAGCCTTCTCTTGCAGCTGCCACTTTAACCTTTAAAATAAAATTTCAAAGTCTGCAATAAAAGGGGCTGAAGTTCAAGTGTGTCTAGAAGCCCAGTCTCCATTCTTAGTTGAGTGGGTGGTGCGAGAGATCCCAGCAGTGTGGCTGTTTAGTGCAGAGACAGAAATACTTTACACATGCTCAAAGATCCTGTTTACTATTATTTGATGCACGAGGGATGAGAACTAAGGTTTGACATGGACCCAAGCCTTGCCAAACCTTAACTCTGCAACTTATTCACAGACACACAGACTGAAAATAACAACTATGAGGAAATAACTGTATGAAGAAACATCCTCCAACAGGAAAGGTTACAAAATTTGAGGATTTTAATTAAGAAAAGAAAGCAAGTAAGGGGGAGGGCATGACAGAAGTGTACAGATTTAAAAGTGGGGTGCGGAGATAGGAATAAGGAAAAGATTTTCTTTCTTTCTCATAAAACGAAAACTCAGGGCCTTCCAATGAATGTGAATGTTGGAAAATTCAGTACTTCTTCACATAGTGCATAGTTAAACTATGAAATTTGTTTTTAAGCAGAAGTTGCAATGGCCATCTGTCATGGATGCTTTAGTTGAGATTCCTGCATTGTAGGGGGTTGGACTAGATGACCCTCAAGGTCCCTTCCAACAATGCAATACTATTGTAGCTATGGCCACCGACTTGGATAGCCTTAAAAAAGTTAGACAAATTCATGACAGCCCTGTTTAGGGAAGTTTTTAATGTTTGAATATGAATTATTGTATTTTGAATATTTTGTTGGAAGCCACACAGAGTAGCTGGGGAAACCCAGCCAGATGGGTGGGGTAAAAATAATAAATTGCCGTTGTTGTTATGGAGGATTAAACTGTCAATGGCTACTAGCCACGACGGCTATATTCTAGTTCTACTGTTGGAGGCAGTATTCCTCTGTATACCACTAGCTGGGAGACTCCCAAGTGTGGAGAAAACTACTGAGCAAATTCCTTCCTTGTGGGCACCACACAGGGGCATAGCCTGGATTTATATTGGGGTGTGTGACAGGCTTTATGTTATTGGGAGCAGAACCTATTTTTATTAATTTACTTAAGGGGGGCAACTGTCCCCCTACCCCCCCATGGCATCCCATAGGCACCTGCTTGGGCACCATGGCAAAAGGATGCTGGCCTCAACGGGCTTTTAGTCTGATCCAGCAGGGCTCCTCCAAAACCAAAGCAAGGAGGATGCTTTGGAGCATGCGAAGAGTGCCAAAGCGCCACCAAGCCGGATCTGGAGGGCTGACTGAGAGTTCGAGGGCAGCCCTCGAAGGATTCAGCGTCGAAACCAGCCCCTGGCAAGCAAAACAGGTTCTGCCTCGCAGCGAGACCGACAAGGGACAGAGAAGAGGAACGCCTTGTGCCGCGCAAAGGCGGCGGCGCCCGCCCAGCTCCAGCCAGACGGGCGCGGCCCGAGGAGCCCAGTCCCCGTCGCCTTCTTCTTCTTCTTCTTCTTCTTCTTCTTCTTCTCCCCTCCTCGGGCGAGAGCGGCTGTTTTCGCGGCAGCCCGGGAAGAAGAGGCCGCGCTAGAGGCGGAGTCCCTGCCCGCCAAGCGCCCGCATTGGCCCGCGGCGCACGTGTCTGGGATGGGTGTCTGCGCCCGGGGAGGGAGGGAGCGCAGCGCGCCAGTGCCGCGGGCGAGGGCAGGCGGGGCGCCGGAGGGAGGGCAGAGGCTGCAGGCGAGCCGGGATGCGCGATGGCAGAGGCGGCCCGGATCCCTTATAGGACCACGGGGTCCACCCTTTTGCACCCGCTGAGTGACTTCTTGGGCATCCCGCTGGACCAGGTGAGGGGAACGCGGAGAGGTTTGCAAGCAGGCAAAGGAGCAGCTCGCGATTCTTGGCACGTGGTGGAAATCGGGTGGTTGTTTTTCATTCAAAAGAGAAATTGACCGAACAGGACTTTTTTTTCTCCCTATTGATCGCGTCTGTTTGCCCCCCCCCCGGTCTACGGAAGGGTGATTTTCTGTGGGTCAATGATAAAGAACGAAAAGCCCAGTTTTTGTGCATGTTTACTCCTACTGAGTTTAACGGGGTTTATTTCCAAATAAGCGAGCGTTAGATTGCACCCGCAATAGCTTGGAAGCGCGCAGGTTTCAGAACTGTGGCTTTATTTGCATGGTAGCAATCGGTGTGCCTTATGGCGATATTGGGTTTCATCGAATGGGTTGGGACCCCAAACTGAGTCACAGGTAAACCTAAGGTGAGTCATATCTATGGCACCGGTTTACCTTAGCTTTTTTACACTCCCCCCCTCCGCCGCAGAAATGATAAAGCAGGAAGAGTTGGGTTTGGTTGATTTGCAAAAACTCTTCCAATTTTCTGTCATTAGGTGTACCGCTTGTCAAGTGCCTCTCCCAGAAGACAGGAGCTTAAAGTCAGGAGACCTGTGAGACTTGCCCGTTCTTGTGATTTTTTTCTTCCTAATGTGGTATTAAAGATGGGTCACCGTTGGAAAAACTTGACAGATACTAGGCTGTGTAAGAAAGCATGATGGGGTGTGTTGTTTGACTAGTACTTAATCTCAGTCACTAGGTGCAAGTGATGCAGTGTGCCGTTGATGCTTACATGTGCAGGAAGCAGCAGCCTAAATGAACAGGAAGTAGCAACCAAAAAAAGAAAGTATTGTTGTGGAAGTTTTCCCATGGCAACTAAATTGAAACTAAGCCTGTCTTTGAAATGAAGATGCTTTCTTCTTATGTTTACATCACGCCACCTTCCTTCCCTGCTTCTACAACCTGCCCTTCCCTTTGTTATATGTTCAGAATGTGAGCTCCGTGGGCCAGAGATTTGTCTTGTTGCTCTGTGCATAGATCATGTGATCATGTGCATAGATGAGGCTGACAACCATAATATCACCTGTCCCTTGTATGGAGCCATCACCTTATGGGTTAGGAGGACATGCTGTCAAGGTTTAGATGCATTGCAGGGACACTTCTCATTCCTGAAAACTACCCCTTTCCCATTGTGCATGTGGATCCTTGATTAAGATGTGCTTATTAAGCAGAGTCATCCCTACCGTTAGGCAGAATGTGACTGCTGCCTCAGGACACAGGTGCTGGTGGGCGGTGAGTGGGTGACAGCAAGCAAGATGTTGGAGGACAGAGCTGTGCAAACCTGCCTGCTAGTTAGGTGTGGGAGAGGGTGTTGTCCTGTCACCAACATTGAAGTAAGACTGAATCGCCAATTGGGCTAGCTTCTGTTAGTGGCATTTGGGGTGGTGGATCATGTCCTCAGGCAGCGAAATACTGGGTTGGCACTGAAATCAGTCCCACTGCTATGGAAGAGGGTATATTCCCAGGTAGATGTGCATAAGCACTTTGCCTTTGTATATAAGGTCTCATTAAAGCTGCAGTTCACAAACTGTTAAAAAAACCAAAAAAACTCTTAAGCATCTGTGTAGAAAACAGCCGGATGTGCTACAGCTAAGCAAGTGGCTTTTGGATTGAGAAAACACTACTACATTTTCAGAGTGTATGCATGAATCAGTTTGTTTTCGTTTGTCTTTATTATTATTTGTCCATTCCTTGAATTCATCTTGACCTGCTTACAGGTTGTTGTTGTTTTTAAAGACAATAAAGTCTCCACCTTAACATTGGTGGAACTGGAATCTAATTTCAGGAATTCAGATCTGAAATAGTGAGTAGTCATTAATACTCTCGCCAGACAGGATGTCAGCTTTAGAGTCTGATTTTATTTATATTCACTCAGACATAATCCCACTGAGTGAGGCTTACTCCCAGGAATTGTAACTTTTGAGCTGGCTTTGGCAATAGAGTGCCCAAAGTTCTTCACGTGCCTTAATTCAGTTTGCTTTGCTATAAACATTTCAGCTAATAAGACAAATTCGATGTAATATAGATACGGTTGTTTACTGTGTTGTTTCTGTACTTGGTAAATCAAACAAACCACTTGTCTGTGTCACTGGGTTAACACATGGGTAGGCAACCTGTGGCACTGAAGAGTTTGTGGAGCTTATAGAAAGAAATACCCGTAGGTATGATTATAGAACCTGCCTGACTCACTTGAACTATGCTATTTCTTGCTCCTCAGTTCAAAAGTTTACCACGGAGGCATGGATACCTTCATTAGTACTATAGTCCATACTAGTGTGAGTGTGGCACAATAGTTTCACCTTGGCTAACACGGTGGCAGGTATGCCACAATCCAACGGCACAACAGCAGTTAGGTCTTGAGAAGAATAATCTTTTATTGCTGCAAGTATTGAACTAAATATCTTAAGAGTATTTTATATATCAAGGCTGGTTTGTTGACTTTGGGCCCCCTGATGATCAATTTGTCCCAGAATTGTTATACCAGTTTTTAGAGCGATTGGGTTTAATCTAGGCCACTAAACTTATGTTCATCCTTTACATGACAGTAATCATTGGGGGCCCTGCTGGCCATCTCTTTGCCACAGCAGCAAAGTCTGGTATTAACTAAGAGGTAAGGCCTTTTGCGGCACCCACCTTATTGAAATGCCCTGTCACCATGCTGCTTCAGGCGGTTGGTGAAGACCTGACGTTTTTAAAAGCCCTTTGGTTGTGTACTTTTTGTTGGCTTAGTTCCGTATTCTTTCAGTGCTGCTGGAATTTGAATGTATATATTGAAGCATTTTTAGGTGATTCTGTTCGTTTTGTTCTGTTTTTCTCACTGGAGTCACCTGGAGTCTCTTTGCAGAAATAGTTGGGATAGGAACTTTTGAAATGAATAAGAATAACATATTGTGGTAGCACAAAATCTCGTGTGCCAGATGTACTTGGGTGGCGGTGGGAGGGCAATACAACTATAACATGGGATGTGCAGCTCAGTGGTGATGTATTTTCTTTCAAGGCTCGTGGGAGGCTTGCTCTTTTCCTGGCAGCAAATGTGATTGGTCTTTCCTTGTTAGGTTTTTCTGAGGCAGCCATGAACTTGCTGCCCTTTCTGTATTCCCTCAGCAATGAGGAAGCTTGTGGTGGTGATACTATTTGTTCCACTAACTGGGGAAAAAATGGGCTCCACTTACAGATTGTGCTGAGAGATAAACCAGGCAGCAAAGGATTTATTGTACTAGGTTTTAAAAGCAGCACAAAAAAGGACTCTCTGGAACAAGGATGAGTTGGTTTTAGTTTTGCAGGGTCTACTGTTTGAGGTTTGCTTGCTTTTTTAAACTTAATTAGAAAAAGGGAGCTGAAAACAGAAATTATTTGTGTGTGATATTTGGTTCAATCTGCTTAGTGTGGAAGAAAATAATAATGATGCAATCTTACAATCACGGAGGTGGGGAGTGCGTATATACCTGAATCTCTGTTTGTTGTTTAGTTTGCCTGTCTTAAGTGAAGGTTGAAACTATATGCATGTAGCTAAGGGAAGGGAAGATTTGGGGGTTTGAGGAATTGGGTAATAAGGGGCATGTTTGTCAGCTTCTTTCTGAATACAATTCCTTGTAATGTTCACATGTTTACTGGTGGATTTGTTGAATAAAGGGGCGGGGCCAATAGGATTTTCATTTTATGTGGGCTGGAGAGTTTAATTTATTCACGTCTTAAACTATTTATTATAAGGCTACTGCAGTTTGTCTTGCACTGGAATTAGAATTCGTTTACAGTGGTACCTCAGGTTACATACACTTCAGGTTACATACGCTTCAGGTTACAGACTCTGCTAACCCAGAAATAGTGCTTCAGGTTAAGAACTTTGCTTCAGGATGAGAACAGAAATCATGCTCCAGCAGCACGGCGGCAGCAGGAGGTCCCATTAGCTAAAGTGGTGCTTCAGGGTAAGAACAGTTTCAGGTTAAGAACAGACCTCCAGAACGAATTAAGTACTTAACCTGAGGTACCACTGTATATTAAAAACATTTCTGGAATGTTTACCATCCACGGATCCCAGAGCAGATTACAGAATAAAACTCTAAAATGCTAAAAACACATAAAATAAGTATTAGAATCTACATAGAATCTAAGTGAAATCAACCACTAACAGTAAGCACCATATCTTAAAGAGGTCAATAACCTACCTGGGGATTGCTTGAGCAAACATATGTGTGCTTAGCAGCCTTTAAAATTGCCCTACTGTGAATGATTTGCATGTATAACACACATAAGAAATGGGAACCATGCTTCTGTAGAACCAACAAAATACATGGCAAATTTAATTTTCTTTATTTCTCATGAATTCTGTGAATTTGAATCTCCTTTCTTTAATCACTGAGTTCAATAAGGGCCGCTGCAGAAGATTAAAGCGAATGTAGAATATAGGATGATGCAGACATTGAAAAAAGTCAACAGGATGGATTGAAAGAAACATTCATTGGTATAACTCTCACCCTGTTGACTTTCCCCCCTGACATTCCTTTCTTTCTTCCTGGAAGCAGAGTCAAGTTCAACCACCTCCGCAGCATGACTGTTGCACAGAGATTTTTAACTGCCTCTGAAGGTCAAGTGCTTTGCCTTTGGAATGCACCACAGGGCTTGGCAACTCCACTCTGACTGTCAGGAAGGAGAGTGGCAAAGTCTAGTTCAATACTGCTGCAGGCCACCCCAATCCGAGTGGCGTGAGATTCCAGGGGCTCATCCAAGATCCATGTTTCCTTTGGGAATGAGGCACACTGGAGGCTGTGGTGTCTTTGTTATATATGTAGTTGTTTGGTTTTTTTACATATATATACAACCTGAGCTTACGTTGGAGAGGTTCATAGCATCAGCACTCCAAGAAGGTCTTGTTTCTCCCATAGGCACAGTTTAGGAGAGGGCTCAAGAAGAGATCAAGCATCATGCTTTGCCTCTTTCTCTCTAGTTCACATTGCAGCAACTCTCACTCTAATCTCTCTAAACTCTGGCTTTATCTGTTGAGGGAGGGTGGGGTCTCATCAATTTGCCATCTCATGCAGAGTCCCTTGATCCTTTGTTCTTAATGGCCCATTCCCAGGCTATCAGCTCAATCCAGGAAGTTTAGCCTAGCTTAATTATCCTTTAACACTTGGCTTAATTAACTTATTAGGAGTGTCTAGCACACAGCCTAATACACACGGGTCTGGATTAATACATACACGGGTCTGGTACCCAGAGTTTTAACACCTGGATCCTTGATTAAATTCTAACACCTACTGGTTCCAGGAATTTAGGAGTGTCTAGCACCCACAAACTCATAACAAACCTATCAGTATTGTCATAACAGAATGCAAACATGTCTGTGCCTAAGCTTACTGAACATTTGTTTGCCAAAAGGTGCTGCCTTCTTATTTGCCCAAGGAAAAAATGAGTTTTCATTTAGTGAGAAAACAAACACATTTCTACCCTCAGTCCTTCATGATGAAGTAGCCCAGAGCTATTCCCATACCACATATTTTCTTACAGAAACATAATTCCATTATACGTACAAGTTTGGTGCTTAGATGCTTCAAGTTTGCAGCGTGCTTTATCAATCACTACACCAAATATTATCCTTTCATGAAAGTTTCCATTCTGACCCATACTGGCATTACACAATCAAATAAAGTCATAACCATAGAAATAATCCTCTATTCCATCATTTTCAGCGTATAAATTATAGGGTTTCTGAAACGACTCCCCTTTTATCTCTAGTCTCTCATTTAAAATTATTCATTATATAAAATTATACTATGCATTTCCTCCTGTTTATTTTGGTTGCTATGTGCCAAACACCACAATGACAACGCAGTAACAGTTGTTAACGCAAACAAGATTGCCTACAAGCAAAGTCAGGGCAGGCTTCAGAAACTGCAGAAATGCTCCATTCACTTCCTATAAGTCAGGGGTGGGAGCTGGATCTGGTTTGTGGGCCAAAATGAAAACACCTCCCTGCAGGAAAACACTTTTCCTGGGGCAGTATGTTGGCTAATATTGAATAATGTGTGATACTTCAGAAACTAGAAACTTTGGGCCAAGCTGGAGTCTCCTTCAGGCATTCGGACACTGTGTAATTGTGCGACTGGGAGAGTGGGGAGCTGTGGGGATGAGCATAGCTAACTCTGTCCCTCCTTGTCATTCTCATTGCCCTGCACAAGTTAGAGGATGGTTGGGTGAAGCAAGGAGCCTCCTCTTTTAATGGAAGCTTCCCGTGCCTTTTAGAATCCCGATTTTCTGGGGTTCAAGTGTCAGGAGTCTCTACCTGCACACCTCAAACTGAAATTCATTTGGAGCAAGCACTCCCAAAACTTGAGAGAGAGGAAGGGGAAGGAGCAGCCCACACATACTATTGGACAGCTTTCGCATACTCAGGAATCAAGAGTTTTGTGTCTCCCTTGTAGGAAATATATACTTCTTCATGCATTCTGCAACTTTCGTCCTGTGGAATAGTGGCAGAACTTCGTTGCTCATAGCCGAACACTCAGAAATTCTTGGGCGACATTCAAAGAAATGGCAGCTCAGTGTGACTTTTTTTTGAAGCAAATAAAATTGCATGTGGATCAAAGCCACTCATTCATTCAGTCATTAAAAAAAAAAACCTGAGTAGAAACGATTACGGTATCAGAGTCAACAAACATACATTGTAACACTTAATTCTTCAGATTTACTTTTAAACATTTCTCCTCTTCACACTGTTGTTGACTAAGGATTTTCCTCTATATTTTTTTTGTTGACTAAGGACTCTGTCATCTGTTCTGCAGTTTCTCTGCCAGGGCTGCTAGTGATAGCTGTTTCATCATGGTAATCCCCCAAGAATATCTGTTTTGAATTTTTGAGTTCAGATCTCAGAAGGTTTTTAAAATTGGGAGAGAAGCAGAACTTACTGCTGGAAGCAAGACTTCAGTCCACAACACAGTCAGATTTACCGTGTGAGAGCTCATGCATGAAATTAAGAAAGATGACTACAAAGTGTAATTGTTTCAAACTAATGTGTGTGCATATTTTTATGCCCTCCTTGGAAGACTGTAATTTTCCATTTTAAAATAACACTCCTGCTTTAAAAACAAACAAACACATATGTGCTGTACAAAATAACTTACAGTATTTATGTGGATGTTTTCTTTCTTTCAGCAGACTATTATAAGCCAGATATGGATTCTAACTCCCATCAGTCCCAGGCAAGGCAGTCCTGATTTGAAACCTTTTCTGAAATATCAATCTGCTTCATTTTATGTAGACAACTTAAGAATCACAGCGCCTTGATAGTAGAAGTAGCTCATCCTAGCATATTCCTATAGTAAACATTTAGTGGGTTTAGCTTAACATGACCCACTGGTATTCTATATGTATAGAAGAAATTAAGTATACCATTACGTATCAAGTATGCCATGAAAATATGCAGGTGTACATGCACACATTACAGGAAATTCTGCCCCTTTGGAATATGAATATTTGTCTTCTACAGTTTTTGGTCTCACAAGAAGCCACAATGTACTTCTGTTGATTTCTTATGTAGGCACCCAGGGAACTATCCAATTTTCTCCCTTGCCATTTAAGTTCCTTACAAGCAACACTCTTCCTTTTCCCAATGCACATGTATATTTCTCGGATTTCCATGACTTCTCTGTTAAATTGCAAACTTTCTTGGGAAACTTGTTTGTAATTCTCTTTTGAGGCTTTCCTGTTAATAATTTTTCACCTTTGGACATTTTCTTATTCTTGAAAGGGAGCAATTCTATGTGGTAAATTAGGTTTTTCATTAAGTGTGCCTGTGCATTTGCCTTAATGTGCTTTGTCCTAAATGTACCAGTTAAAAAACAACAACTGCAGGAGATATGGATAACTAGCCATAGCAAACTTCTTTTGCTGTTGTCTTGCTTGCTGGGCAGTTTAATGAATTATGCAAGAAAAACCTGGATTTGCCACCACTGAGTATATACTTGACAGGGAGCCGGACCTAATCAAGTGTTCTAGTACAAGACACACATCTGTCACGTTCATGTTTACATTTTTCGGTGTAGATATAAAAAACACCCTGGGCGTATCCCTAAAAACAATTTGCTGGATCCAGACTAATAATGAACTACCACACACACATTCACTTACCTGGTCCTATTCACAAGTCCCTGGGAAAAGCTCCCTTGAATTCAGTGAGACTGACTTCTGATAAGATATGCCTATGATGGTTCCACTCCTTTTCCATTCTTTTCTTTGAGATCTGTATTCAACTACAGTGGTACCTTGGTTTCCATACGTTTTGGATTACAAGCACGTCAAACCTGGAAGTGCCGGTCCCGGTTTGCAACCTTTTTTTGGATTGCAACCCTTTTTTTTTTTTTTTGGATTACGAACCAATTTTCTTTGGAGGCCCCATTGGTGAAAGCGCGCCTTGGGTTACAACCTGTTTTGGTTTACAAATGGACCTCTGGAACAGATTATGGTTGTAAACTAAGGTACCACTGTAATGTAGCCTAGATCTAGCTCAAATTATGAAGAGGCTCTTTTCACCTGAAATAAAATGGGAAGGTCTGAAACCTCTTTCTCTGAAATATTCTACTGGGAGCTTTAGGTGTCTTTTGAATATTTTTGAGGAAGCCGCTTCAAATTACTTCTGCACCCATTCTTTAAAGTGCAGTGCTAAGTTGTGCGGGGAAAATACGCAACGACTTGTCCAGGATTGTACCCAAGAGGTCTTTCTTGGCGGTGAGAAGAATGCTGACAAACAAAAGTCAATTGCAATCTGTTTTCATGTTTCCTTAGGTCAATTTTGTTGCTTGTCAGCTCTTTGCACTCTTGGCCGCCTTTTGGTTTCGCTTGTACTTAAGTCCCAGCCATGCCAGCTCTGCTGTTCGTCACGCATTTGCCACCATATTTGGAGTATATTTTGCTGTTTTCTGCTTTGGTTGGTGAGTAATTGCTGTCTAAATAACTAATAATTGCAACAAAGATGATGATGCATGGAGTCGTGGAGAGAGGCGTACGCTCTCCGTGCTTTAAGGCATGCTGTTGAGCAACTATGGGAACCCCTGAAACAAATTTGAAATTGTTTTATCAGAAAGTAGTGCTTTAGAGAGAGATGTATCCAAAAACTCAGTGATTTGGGAACAAATACCGTAATTTGAAAAGGGATCTAGTTAGGCAATTGTAGAATGCAGGGTTGGAGGAGAGTGGAATTTGTGTTGGCTCTCTCATTCTATATTGCTTACAGTATTTACTTTATAAAAGGTTTTTGCCTTCCCTTGGTATCCATCATTGATCTTTGAATATAAAACTTGTTTTCTTGTTTTTAAGGTATTCCATCCATATTTTCATGCTAGTGATGATAAGCTACAGCATCCTGAATGTGGCCAGCATCCCCAACATTCACAGGTGAGGTTTCATGGCTACTGTAAGTAACATGTTTTAGGTTATCCTTTTTTTTATTATAACTGTGTCCTTTCCCCCACCTCCTTTCATTGGAGCTTATGTGCACTAAGTTGATAGTGGTGTGGCAGCACCCAGATTGCACCAAAAGATTTGCTTTGCCTTTCTTCACATTCATGAAGGCTGGACTGCTTTTTCTGGTATGACTGGGGACAAATGTATTGCTATGCATGGGAGACCAGCAATCATTACAGTGGTACCTCGGGTTAAGTACTTAATTCGTTCCAGAGATCCGTTCTTAACCTGAAACTGTTCTTAACCTGAAGCACCACTTTAGCCAATGGGGCCTCCTGCTACTGCTGTGCCGCCAGACCACAATTTCTGTTCTCATCCTGAAGCAGAGTTCTTAACCTGAGCACTATTTCTGGGTTAGCGGAGTCTGTAACCTGAAGCGTATGTAACCTGAAGCATATGTAACCCGAGGTACCACTGTATTTGGATGTACTTAGTGGGTAGGAAGTTCTATGAAAGCGATATGCACTTGCAAGTGTTAGTTAGACAACCTTTTGATGCTACATATTAAGCTTTAAAGTTCCAAACCCCTTGATGTGGCAGAATCAACATGTTGGTTTGGGAGTGAGTTGTTTGATGATTTTTTTTTTATTACAGTTGTTCTTGGTAAGACTTACGTTTTGTGTATTAAATGTCTACGATTATAGGTACTCTTTTATGGTAGCTATGGGATATCTCACGTTATGCCACATTAGCCGGATATACATATTCCACTATGGTATTCTCACTACAGATTTCTCTGGGTAAGTAGTGGTAAAAGTTATTTATTTCTTTTATTTAGAGTATTTGCAGGCCCCTCTTCAACCCAGATTAATTAAAGCAAAACAATCCCTGCCTGTAGACTTTACAGTCTTAAAAACACAAGGGAATAGGGATATGGAAGAAAGAGGAAATAATTTGTAATATTAAAATGTTTGTATTCAATAATACATAGAAATCACTTTCTTTGTTACGTTAACGGCCCACACTCACCATTATCTCACCAGGAAGTTGGCCTGGCTATTTCAGCAATTGCATCCTTGCTGGATCCAAGAATTAGAAGGGGACTCAGGCATACAGGTTAACTGCCCTCCCCCAATTCACAACATGGACATTTACTGAGGTGTATAAGAGGTCCAATGTGTTTCAATGTCTGACAGTTATTCTTGTGGACAAGACAATCTTGTACTGCTTTTATTATTCTGCCATCTTGCTATAACAGTTCACTTGGGACATATCAAACCCCGTTTAAGTCCAAAAGATTTAAATGAACCTACCTGGGCAGAGGTAGAAATAGGTTAGGCATCATATTGAAAATAATCGGTCAAGCACAGCATGATTACTTTTAATCGCGAACCTGTGAATAAAGTAAAATATAGTTTTGCATATTGCTCAGTTTTATCCTCTCTGTTTCTGGCTTCTACTTGCTTCAATATTAAAACATTAACACTGTTTCTGCTTGTCGATATATTCTACATGTTGGTGTTTGCATTTAATTCATACTACTACTTCTCTCTGTAACTGCATGTCTTCTCTTACGCCAAGAGAATTGTGTCGGTGAGTTGCTCTCTTCTATGCGTGCTCTTAATGTTTCTGAACTTCTCGCATGCTTGCTTTCAAATGATAACAACTGGTGGTGGTTCAGAGGAATAGCCAGTGGCTTCTGGTGTGATTGAGCACCCTGATCTGTTTTCAGATTCCTTGCCAGCCGGGGAGCCTTGCCTCTTTTAGGTCTTCACACATAATCAGAAACCTCCTTACTATCTGTTTCAGATACGGATTAGTGGGCAATGTTAGTGCTTTTGAATTGTTCACATATAAACATACACCACCCCCACAGCACATCAGTTGTGTTTCGTTTACAATTGTCTGTGCGTTTATGCATGAGGCTCTGAAGCAAGGAACCTCTGCTACTCATTGAGACTTCCCAAACAAGTGAGTGCCCTGAAAATCACGCTTCTAAATCATAGGGGAGCCTCCCAAAGTAGTGGAGAACTTTCAGACGGTTGTGCACAAACTTGTGGTCAGCTGTAAACAGCATACAAGCGACTTGTCAGAAGGTACGGGGTATTCTCCCTCCTGTGTGTGCTTCTATCTCATTCCTAATTGAGGATGTGGGTATTTGCACCACACAATGTGTATGAGACTGTTCAGAGCTAGCACATATTATTTACCTATTCCAAATAGCTCTACCCACCTCCCCAGTCTTTCAGCACCATTTACAAATATGACTAAGACAATAACAAACATAAGAACGCAATGAAACACTGGAAAGATAGGAAAAAGCATTAAACAACACTACGGGTAAATCAACAAGACACTTTGTTGTATTGTTGTGTCTCTTTGCCCACCCCACCAGGAGGTAAGCCACTCTGTTCTATACCATAGTAGGAATGGAGAACTTCTGACCATCCAAACTGACCATTCTGAACCACAACTCCCATCATCTTTGACCATTGGCCATGCTTCCTGGGGCTAATGGAAGTTGACGTTCAGCAGCAACAACCAAAGGTTCCCCACATTGGACTTACACTTTCTGAACAGTCTTCAAGCCCTGTAAAGTGTTCATTTCCGTAGTCAAGACCTGATGCATGAAGACCCATTAAGGACAGATTAAGGGCATTCATATTTACTTCATTGTCCTTTAATAGTTCCTTCATGCCCCATATTTAATTGCATTTCTGTGCCTTAAGTGGCAAAGACCTCTGTGAATACTTCTGTCAACTTAAGTGCAGTACACCAAGTTAGGAAATGTGTAATATTTTGCAGTAAAAATATTAAAATAATAGTCATTGTAGTCCAGCGCATGCTTGAGTAGAAGTGATCTATATAGCCTGTTAGTTGGTGTTATTTGGTATTAAAGTTCATGTGGCAATATGGCATTGTGGATAGAGTGTTGGACTTGGGCCAGGGAAACCCAAGTTCATATCCCCATTCAGACTGATAGGTCATTGGATGATCTTTCCAAACCTCTCTCTGTTGTGATGTGGATAACTCCCAAGTACATGGCTTTGAGCTCCTTTAAGCCAGAATGTGAAAATATGTAATCAAATGTTGTACCATGCAACATGTGATGCACACTGTTTTCCTGTATTTCATTATAGTCCGTTGATGATTGTAATACAGAAGATCACTACTCTTGCCTTCCAAGTGCATGATGGTAAGAAAAGATACATTTTCCAGCCCAGGGCCTGTCCACACAAGGGTTTTTCACATCACTGCAATATCTCGCTCATTCTTATCCCACACAATGGAATGACAATCTATCATTCACCTCTCCTGTAGGTTATATCCAAGGAAGTCATTGTGTTCATGGCTGCTGGCGCAATGGAACTTGCTCTCCCTCTCATCCCCCAAATCTGCTCAGGGTTCGTTCCCCCAACTCGCCCAAACAGATTTGGGGAGGTGCAGGGGGAGTAAAGGAAGTGGGAAGTTCGGTTGCACAGCAAATGTCATTCTGCAAGACAATGGATTCAGCCCTTCCCCTACAATCTCTGCTCTTTTATTTCTGTGCTTTTCCAAGCCTAGTTCATTAAAACAAAAGGAGATTGTGAAGAGCTCCAGAAGGACCTCTTCAAACTGAATGCATTGGGGGGGGGGGGATGGCAAATTCAATTCAGTGTAAAGAAGTGTGAAATGATGCATGTTGAGGCAAAAAAATATCTCAACTTCGTATATACGTTCATGGGTTTTGAACTGGCAGCAATGGACCAGGAACGAAACCTTATAATCAGATACCGTAACTTGATGAAGATGTTGATGCAGTGAAAAAAAAGGCAAATTCCATGCTAGGGATCATTAGGAAAGGTGTTGGAAAATAAAGCTGCTGATATCATATACTGTCGTTCAGATCCATGGTGGAAGACCACATTTGGAGTACTGTGTATGGTTCTGGCCATCTAGCCTCAAAATGGGGAAAGGAAAGGGTTGTGCTTGAGGGAAGGTAGCGGCAATGTCACAGAACCATTGCCATGTGGACATGAAGCAACTTCTGTTTAAAGCAAATGCTGGTACAGTGATACCACAGAAACAAAGGGGCTTCCAGTGTCTTCTGCACAAAGCTCTCTAAATATACACTGGCAACCTTTTAGGAAAAGTTGAAAGTTTATGCTGAAATTGCCAAGATATTAAGTCATCTTTTTGCAGTTAGTCTGGCTGCCTTTGCTTGGAATTAAGAATAGGGAAGGAAAGCTGAAACACCCACCTACCTACCCACCCACCACTTTTGCTCTGCTGCTTTCTCTATACTTAGAAGAGAATTGAGGCTTCGTAACTAGATCTGCTAAATTCCAGGTTTGTGGTCTAGTATAGAGATCCTGATGGTTGTCATGATTCTCTTGCTTGGTTCGATAACTAGGTCACATTTATGGAATCTTACCTATCTCCATTGCTTCTCAAAAAACGTTTGCGCATCCCCCCACTTGGGTACAGAACTAAGCAGTAGTTTGCCCCTGTTTTTATTTAAGAGTGGGGAAGGAAGAAAAACTAAAATCATGGAAATAAGGACTTGTGCATCTTCCAGAACAACTCAGAAAGAAACATGCATTCATTGCCAAGGGTGGAAAATTGTCTGATGGGAGAGGCCCTTTGTGTATGTTGGAGGTTTCTTAACTTGGTAATAAACTGATGTAAGAAAGTAGGCCATGGAGAAGAGGCCAAGAATAAATGTGTGAAAACATACAGTATTTATTAATATACTTGCTAACACTAGCAGCATATTTGACAATTATATGTACCATCCCCATCGTCCTCCAACATGTGATTTGATTCTTGTGTCGCTTATTCTTGCTAGGAATAGGCCGGAAAGCTGAAGAACTAACTGCTGAACAAAACCTGCTTGCTATAAAGTAAGAAAGCATCTATTTTACTGAACTGTTCCCCTCCCCACCCCCCAAAAAACCCACACCTGGATTGTATTGTTTCTGTGTGTTTATATAGAATAACTTAAGTGGAAGTTTTCATTTTGTGACTTAATATGCAGGAGTTCTTCCAGGTTAAAAAATATGTGTAGCTTTTCTGAAAAACAGCAACAACACTGATTGATGTGGCAATAGGATGGAATGAATTTATAAGTGAGCACATGCAAAACTGACATAGACCAGAAATAGACCCATCTATCCATGCCTAGTAGAGGCTCTGATCATGGATCTCCTGTGTCATATCAACTTTGTGTCTTGTGTATATATTATTTTGTTGTCTTTGAGTAAAGACAGACTGATCCAGAAGTAGCTTGAACACATGCACACTGCCCTGAAAACAAGCACATAGAAATACAGTGACTTTGTGTTCAACCCAACTTCTTCCACGCTCAGAATTGCTCCCCATAATACTTTTAAAGGAGTAAACCATCTACGATTCCCCCACATATTTTTTTTAAATCAGATTTTGAAATAATTATTGTGTGGTTGTTTTGGTAGAACAAGGCCTTCATTACTAGAATATCTGAGCTATCAGCTCAACTTCCTGAGTATCATAGCTGGCCCATGCAGCAATTTCAAGGACTACATAGCTTTCATCGAAGGGAGACATGTGCAGATGAAGCTATCAGAAGTCAGCTGGAAGCAAAAAGGTCACGATGGACTCCCTGATCCTTCTCCAGTGGTAGGTTGTAAAGTACTAAGAACCTTACTTTCAAACTCTTCAGTTGTTTTTGCAGCAGTTGCTGCTGAAGTTAAATACTTTTTAATTTCATCTATTCAGCTGCTTGATAGGATGGGACATAAATTCAAAAAATATATTTTCATACTCTACTCCTTTGTGTCAGTTTGGGGCAGCTTTCAACATTTTGATAATCGTCTCCTCTGTAACTTTCCCCTGTTCCGTCTTAATTGTCCAAACTCATAACTTTCATAGGCCAACAGTGGTGTCATGGGGTAACCTGGCCAGATGGGCAGGGTACAAATAATAAAATAATGATGACATGATCATCAAAGTGCCATTGCTTTGAACTCCTAGGAAGCCAAATCGAAGGGTAATCAGATGGTGGGGGAGACAGAAGCTATCTGACCTCACAAGACAAATGGACTTGCTTTCTCTGGGTCAAGCATCCTCTTTTCTAACATGCCATGATCTACTTTTCAGTAAACTCCTCCCCTCTAGTGTCTGCACAGATCCCAGCAGCGAAGAGATGCTTGAAGTCAAGCAAGTTTCCAGGGATATAGATGCTTATTTCACCTGTTTGTTTGGGGGTGCACCTGTCTAAGAAAGTAATGTTATTGAAGCAATATTTGCTGCACCCATCCCTGGCACTGATTCTGCAAGAAAGAATGACTCCTAAGTGGAACACCAGCATTACCAAAATGGTGTTCAGTGAACGAAGGTGGCTGTGCTCTGCACTGTCTTCACTAGTGCATAGTGGGAGCTTATGGTTTTGTGTGCAATGCTCCCCACCCTCAACTGCTGCAAACTTCTTACATGCCTTGTGATTAGTCTCGGGGTTAAATGAACCACTCCATTTTTAGTGCTACCAATTCCTCTTTGCAAGATAGTACGTGTAAGCAATGGGTGATACTTTTCATTGGCCAGTTACCTCTGAGTATTTTATAGGGGAGAAACATTTTGCCTTCTCTCACCACTGATGGCACTCATTTTTTTCTTCTTCTTCTAGGGAGCTGTGCTGCGCAAACTTTCCATCACACTTGTATCTTTGCTTTTGTTCCTGACCCTTACCAAGAACTTCCCGGCAACTTATCTTGTTGATAACCAGTTCATCAGCAAGTCTTCGTTCTGGTCCAGACTTGGCTTCCTATATGTTGCCATGCAAGCTTCAAAGCCAAAATACTACTTTGCATGGACACTCGGTAAGGTTGATATACTGCTTCTTTTTAAAAAAATGTATACACACCCTTGAGGTTGAAGTGATGTTTCTTTTCAGACATTCAGATAGCATGGCTATATCTGCGCATATAAACTCATGGAACAAGTGTGATGAATTGCTACTCTTGCTGCTAGGGTATTGGTAATAGAAGTACAGTGGTACCTCAAGTTACATACGCTTCAGGTTATTACATATGCTTCAGGTTACAGACTCCGCTAACCCAGAAGTAGTGCTTCAGGAAACTTTGCTTCAGGATGAGAACAGAAATCATGCTCCGGCTGCGCGGCAGCAGTAGGAGGCCCCATTAGCTAAAATGGTGCTTCAGGTTAAGAACAGTTTCAGGTTAAGAACGGACCTCCGGAACGAATTAAGTACTTAACCCGAGGTACCACTGTAGTCATGGGAGGGATGGCAGAAACTGCTAGGAAAATAGTTCAGCCAGCGCAAGCTTTTCAGCGTGCCAGACAGAACAATCCCCCTCTCCTTCCTCCGTGTGCTGTTCTGTGGGTTCTCCCAACCCCACTCCCAAGTCAAGTAGGGGCGTGTGGGGGGAGGAGAGAGGGAGAAAGCCCCATTGCACTAGTAGGAGCCCCTGCACTGGCTTATGCTAGTGGGGCTCCTTTGTTGAATCCCACCCTTGGTTTCTAACCTGCCCTATATCATCAGGGCCGGCTACAATCTATACATTGACAATACCATATACAACCATTAAATCACAACAATCTGAAGGGAGGGCATTACACAGAACCATAGAACTGTAGAGTTGTAAAGGGACCCTGAGGGTCATCTAGTTCAACCCCCACTGGCAATGCAATTCAAAACCATCCTGGACACTGCTTAGCTTTGCAAATGTGCTAGCAGTTTCATTGCTGCAGCACTACGTAGGTAGACGTTTCAGGGAAAAAAAGTCACTTTCCCATGCCACTACAAAATGTACAAGTTCCCACAAATGGGACATGGAGCAGAAGCCCCTCCCCCCCAACAGATTTCATGATCAAAAATTGTGATTAGAGAGACACAAATGTTGACCAGTCTGAGCAAAATGTAAAGAATATAAGGCATGGAAAAGTCCCAATATATGGGACATATCTCAATAATTATTTCACAGCCATCCTTTGAAATTGTCACCTCTCTGAATTCTGCAGTACTGTTCTCCCTTCAAGTAATGTGTATCAAAAAAATCATGTGCTAGGATAAAGTTTGCATAAAAAGGCCTATCATAGTGAAAATAGCATAGAAAAATGCGTTACTTTAGGAAACATTGATTTGCAAAAATGTATGTATTAGGAGAAACGTGCAATAAAATACGGTTGAATTTTCATAAGGACTTCTTTCAATGAAATTTGCAAGTTGATGGGATAATGTGGAGAACCAAATTTAAAGACTGGGGGAAAGGGTAACTGAGAGAGACTGAAATTGACAAATTGACACCCATCCCTAATTCCAAGTGTGTGTTGGAAAGGATCAGCAGTTTCCCAGTCCCCCCTACTTTCTAAAGCCAGGGACATCTGCCGCTTCCCACCCACAATTCCAGCTGTGTAGTCCAGAGCTGTCCCACAGGCAGGGTGCAGTGCAGCACAGAAAGGTTTGTGCAGAAAAGAGAAGACATTGGAGAATAGCTGCTTAAATTGGAAACAAAAATGTAGAATTGGGTGTCTGGAACAACCAGGGCTGTAAACAACATTTTGCTTTGCATTGTGGTTTTTTGGGGACAGCAGTGTCCTCTTCTGCATAGCAGTGGGCAAGACTTCTCGTTGTTCTTTGGCCTGGACACCAAAATATCATTTGGGCAGCAGTGGCCTTTCCTCGCTTTCTCAAAAAAATTTATCTAGTGACACAGAATAGTCTGTTGATCAAATATAGCTGCTGCTAAGCAGTTCTTGCTTGTGAAGTAGGACAGGCATGCTTTTGTGCGAGAGTCAATTACTGAATTCTCTGCTCATGAAAGGGGGGCGGGAGAGAGATAAGTTCATTTTTGTCCTAATGTTAACTGCTGAACTTTAGTTGGAATCAAAACTAAGAAGCCAGTCTTCAAAAGTGCTCTGCTAACGCAAGCTGCAGTGAAGTGGCTTTAATCAGTGGGCGATCAGAGCTTTGAAGTTGCTTCTTCAGAGGCAGAGATGCTGTAGCAGAAGTCAATAATCTTCTTTTTCTTGGCAATCACTTGTAGCCGAATAAGATTGTCTTCCGTAAACAGGGTTTGAACAGTGAGAGAAGGTCACTCACTGCATCATCACCTTGTTGTGGTGAATAGGCTTGCACGTTCCTATGACCCTATGAGCGAAGCCGTTGGGAGTCTCATACTCCCAGCAGGGTCACCCAAGGCAGTAAGGTCAAAGGGGAGGAGCTAGACAAAGAATGATCCAATAAGTCCTCAATGGCAGAACAGGCGGATGATAACAAGCAGTATGTTACAACAGCTGTGAAGGCTGCAGCAGATAAGAATCTACCGGTCGTCGTGATACTCATGCCATCAGAATACAGTGGTACCTCGGCTTAAGTACTTAATTCGTTCCGGAGGTCTGTTCTTAACCTGAAACTGTTCTTAACCTGAAGCACCACTTTAGCTAATGGGGCCTCGCGCTGCTGCTGCACGATTTTTGTTCTCATCCTGAAGCAAATTTCTTAACCCGAGGTACTATTTCTGGGTTAGCGGAGTCTGTAACCTGAAGCGCCTGTAACCTGAAGCGTATGTATCCCGAGGTACCACTGTAGGGCCTTACTGTGAAGACTGTGCATTGATCAGCGTGCACTGATCTACACACATAAAACAAATTTATGCACAGGCGTCTTCCAAAAAAAGAAGTCTGTAATATTGGGTTCATGACTGTAGTGCCAAATTCATGGAGGGTAAGGCTGTCAATGGCTGCTAGTTATAATGGCTCTGCAATTGCCTCCACAGTTGAAGAAGTAATGCTTCTGAACACCAGCTGCTGGAAACCACAGAGTGGAGTGTGGGGAACAGGTCCTGCTTGCCATTTTCCCACAGGCATCTGGTTGGCCAGTATGCAGACAGGATGCTGCACCAGATTGGCCATTGTCCTGATCCAGGAGGCTCTTCATATGTTCTTGCATTACTTTCTTAATTTCTAAATAAAGTGGGATGAGTTTCTAAATAAAATGTCACTGGTCCAGACAAAGTAACTTGAACTTTTGTTTGCAATCAAAGCCACTCAACTTCATAATTGTTAACTTTTTGCGTTGATTTCAGTGGGACCCAAGTTCCAACTTATTTATTCTGGATTCAACTCATTATGATGTTCTTACACAAGTAGTCATTTTGTTAACTGACATTTTATGCATTACTCTTATGAAATTGTGGCTTCTGCTCCAGTGAACACTGTTTCTGCTCTCAGTTGGTAGAGCATGAGACTCTTCATCTCAGGTCCATGGGTTCAAGCCCCACACTGAGCAAAATATTCATGCACTGCAGGGGGTTGGACTAGATGGCCCTCATGGTCCTTTCCGACTCTACAGTTCTGTGGTTCTGCGACTAGTTCCAAATACCCAAAGGGGCTTTGAAGCTCCTGTTGTTTTTAAAAATAAATCTTAGTGTGTGGCATGGAGCGCTCAAGCAGCAGCTCTCCATGCCACAAAGGAAGGCTCTTTTAAACCAGGAGAAATTTCATATGGCATTGTAGTCTCTTTGTGGTGTGTGTGTGTGTATGTGTATGTGTGTGTGCTGGAATTAAAGGTCCCACTGGGCACGCCAAAGTCCTTGGGCATGCATAAAGCAGGTCTTTGGATTTCAGCCTAAGACTCTTGTATTTTGCAATTATAGCAGATGCAGTCAACAATGCAGCGGGCTATGGGTTCAGTGGTGTTGACAAGACAGGCAATTTCCACTGGGACCTTCTGTCTAATTTGAATATCAGGAACATTGAGGTAAGTTTAAAAGAAAACACTATGAGAAAGGAATAGCATGAGCCTGATAAGATAATTACACCCAGTGAAAAATTCTTATTGCTACACAGATATGCGTGCAAACAAAAGTTATTTTGTATTTTAGATTATCAGAAACATTTTTTTTGGTGTGTGTTTAAATTTTAAAACATTAAAACCACAAAAAGCGGCTGCTGCTGCTGCTGCTTTTAAATAGAACCTCATGACCATGTCTCACCCTTGGCTTGTTAACTTGAAGAATTTGAACTCAAATATCTGACATTTTCAGCAAGGGCTTCTTGTTATGCACAGTTCTGTTGTAAAAAGCAGTAATCTCACCCTTCACATAAAAAATTATACTGATAAATTCTCTACAAGGGATTATTATTTTAAATGAAATATGGATTGTGAGAATCCAAACAGTCGGGATTCCGATCCTAACTTAGTAGTAAAGCCCACTGAATTTAATTTGGCTTATATGTGAATAGGCATGGTTAGAATTGTGCTGTAAAACAAACATTAGCCTCTGGATTTACCATCTAGGGTTTTGCTGGTGTAAAAAGGTTATGCTTCTTATCTTTTAAAATAAATTGCAAACCTCATCTCTGTGTACTACTTAAGATAAATTACAGGCTTCAAAGTTCTAGGGTGGTAAAAGAAGCACAGGCAAAGCATTTGAATCCAATGGGTGAGGATGAGTTGGACTGACATTTTTAACGTGAACGCAGACCAGTAATGTGCGGGGCTTTCCTCTCTCCTAGATGGCAACGAGTTTTAAAATGTATGTAGAAAACTGGAATATCCAAACCACTGCCTGGCTCAAACGGTAAGAGCAATGTACTCAAGGTGCTTTTACACTGCTTTGATGATCCTCCTCATCTGCCCATACATTTAACAGGGCTTTTAACATTCGTCACTGAAGCCTATCTCTACACTAAGGGCTCGTCCCTCTAGCATAGGGCCGAGCGGTTTCCCCCTTGCCCCATTCCTTTCCTAGGGAAAAATTCACTCTATAGCTCTATATCGGTGCAAATGTCTTTGTCCCCCCTGCCTGCCTTCCCAGGGGCTTTTAAATCGCCCCGGACAGCGGAGAAGTCCTCCGCTGTCCCAGGGTTTTTTTAAAATGCTGGGGGTGGGAAGAAAAGCCCTTGTTCCCCCCCCCCCCCCCAGCCTTCAGAAGAGGTCCGGGGACAGACTGTCCCCGGACCTGGTCTGAAGGCGGTTTCCCTAGGAACGCATTAATTGATTTTCAATGCATTCCTATGGGAAACCGTGCATCGCAAGACGAAAAAACCGCAAGACGAAGAGACTTGCGGAACGAATTAATTTCGTCTTGCGAGGCACCACTGTAAGATACCTCGGGGTGCCTTTTCAGATCTGGTAGGCAAGATATAAAATTAAAATTAATGCTTTGTTTATATCAGCTTGGGCTGCTGTCACCACTGCTTTCTGTGTGCCTGAGTTAAATAGGTTGAATTTTTACATCAATTCCTCCCCCCCCCAACAAAGCCTTTATTTGGAAAGTGATTAATTCTGTTTCCACATGCCTACAGACACACAGCAAAATTCCTTCCCATGGAAAATGTTCTGTTCAGTAATGTATATACAGCATTGGTTTGGCATGTATAAAACCTGTTTGGATTTCTGAAAGACACACTCATGACTTACATTTAAAAACATAATCAGAAAGTGTGTGTGTGTGTGTGTGTTTCTGTTGCAAAAATATAAAAATCTATACCTGCCAAAAATCTAGAAACTTGTCATAAATACTTCTTTCGAATTTCTTTTTTTCCAAAACACTCCATTGAGTTAAAGCAAGGAAAGTGGGCCAAACTATAAGGAATCCAAATGGGAGTTTTGTGTCTGGAAAGTATATGTTCTGGGTGCCTATGGATTAACGCTTTTAAAATGTAAGATGCCCTTTAAGATGTCTCTAGATCAGTGTTTCCCAACCTTTTTTGGGCAAAGGCACACTTCTTTCATGAAAAAAATCTCGAGGCACACCACCATTAGAAAATGTTAAAAAAATTAACTCTGTGCCTATATTGACTATATAAAAAGTACAGTGGTGCCTCGCAAGACAAAATTAATTCGTTCCGCAAGTCTCTTCGTCTTGCGGTTTTTTCGTCTTGCGATGCACGGTTTCCCATAGGAATGCATTGAAAATCAATTAATGCGTTCCTAGGGAAACCGCCTTCAGACCAGGTCCGGGGACAGTCTGTCCCCCGACCTCTTCTGAAGGCTGGGGGGGGGGGACAAGGGCTTTTCTTCCCACTGCCAGCCTTCAGAAGGCTGTTCTGAAGGCTGGCGGTGGGAAGAAAAGCCCTTCTTCCCACCTCCCGCCCCGCAAGCTCCGGGGACAGGAGGGCTTTGCTGCCGACCGCCAGCATTTTAAAAGCCCCTGCTGTCCCGGGGCGATTTTAAAATGCTGGCGGGCGGGAGCGAAGTCTCCGCTGCCCCGAGGAGATTTTAAAATGCTGGGGGTCGGCAGCGAACGCTTCGCTCCCGCCCGCCAGCATTTTAAGATCGCCCGGGGCAGCGGAGAAGTCTCCGCTGTCCCGGGAAGGCAGGCGGGGGAGCAAAGACTTTTGCCCCCGCCTGCCTTCAGAAGAGGTCCAGGACCTCGTTCAGATGCCTGGCGGCGGGGTGCGAGGTTCCCGCCCCCCCGCCCCGCTTCGGAGCAGCGTTCCGAAGCGGGGCGGCTGGGGCAGGTGTTCCCGCCCCCCCGCCCCGCTTCGGAGCAGCGTTCCGAAGCGGGGCGGCTGGGGCAGGTGTTCCCGCCCCCCGCCCCGCTTCGGAGCAGCGTTCCGAAGCGGGGCGGCTGGGGCAGGTGTTCCCGCCCCCCGCCCCGCTTCGGAGCAGCGTTCCGAAGCGGGGCGGCTGGGGCAGGTGTTCCCGCCCCCCCGCCCCGCTTCGGAGCAGCGTTCCGAAGCGGGGCGGCTGGGGCAGGTGTTCCCGCCCCCCCGCCCCGCTTCGGAGCAGCGTTCCGAAGCGGGGCGGCTGGGGCAGGTGTTCCCGCCCCCCCGCCCCGCTTCGGAGCAGCGGGAGAAGCGATCTCCCCGCAGCCCCTTGCTTCAAAAGAGGTCCGGGGGCAGCGGGGAAGAAGCGCTGCGCTTCCCGCTGCCCCCGGACCTCTTTTGAAGCAAGGGGCTGCGGGGAGATCGCTTCTCCCCGCAAAGCCTTGCTTCAAAAGAGGTCCGGGGGCAGCGCGAAGCGCTTCCCGCTGTCCCCGGACCTCTTTTGAAGCAAGGGGCGGTGGGGAGAAGCGATCTCGGGCGCCGCCTCTCCCGCCTCCCTCCCACGGCACACCAGGCAAGGTCTCACGGCACACCAGTGTGCCGCGGAACACCGGTTGGGAAACACTGCTCTAGATATGAAAATCTGGGGTAGAGAAATGACAGCATTATAAAATCCGAAGATTTACTGCCATGAAAACAGGTTACGCTAGTTGAAGCTTGTCTTGTCCTTATTCAGAAGCGACTCTCCCATTGGGTTGGAGCTGCAGCAAGATGCTTCCCAGCAGTGGGGCTCCTGCTGCTAGTTACTAGGAGGGTCAAGGTGGCAGGGAGGTCTGCCTGGCACAGTGCCAGGCTGAAGTGTTGCATTGTCCCTGCCAGTGCCCCCACACCAAGCTGACCTCTCTGCCGCCTCACCTCTGGCCACCTCCCAATAAGCAGCAGCGACCCCTCTGCCAGGAAACCAAGGTTGCTGCTTCGCCATCCTGGGGAAGCCAATTTTGTCCTCTCATAGAAGTGTGCTTTTGAAACGCCTGCCTTCTGGCGTAGTTACGAAGTCAGCTTCGAAAGCGTTTGAGATGCAATCCATGTATTGTCTGCACATGCTATTATTTTGGTTTTGCTTTTCTTCCCAGCGTCTGCTATGATAGAGCTCCTCAGTACCCTACAGCTTTAACGTTTCTTCTGTCAGCTGTTTGGCATGGCGTCTACCCTGGATATTATTTTACATTTGTCACTGGGATCTTTATGACACTAGCAGCCAGAGCAGTATGTATCTCCTTTCCATTTTATTTTTTAAAAATGGGTGCAATCTGAAATGTAACTATTCACACTCAGTTCTCTTCAGGTCATTGGAACATGGTTGTGGGCATGAGTCCTATTGGTTTTCAGAGTGTTTTCTTGAATATACCAACCTGCCTCTGTCTGAAACCCCACATTTTCTGAGCTATCTCACACTGACCTATTTATGGGCCATGCTTGCTATCCCTGCCCCCGTTGTCAACCTCCCACCACTCTCTGTGTGTTGGGTGGGGTGGAGATCTCAAGCAGGGAGCCCGCTGCATTCATGTAGGCTTCTTGTGCCTGGTTATAAATATGTATACAGAGACTCCCTGCTTCAGACCCCACCCCTACATGTAGTACATGGCAGGACCAGTCGGGGTGCAAAGGCTTAATTGTACAGTCATACCTCAGGATGAATATGCTTCAGGTTAAGCGTTTCCAGGTTGCGCTCCGCGGCGACCTGGAAGTAACGGAACGCGTTACTTCCAGGTTTCGCCCCTTGTGCGTGCACAGATGGTCAAAATGACCTCACTTGTATGTGCGGAAGCGCCAAAACACAACCCGTGCATGTTCAGACGTGCAGTCGCGTGTTACGTTCGCTTCAGGATGCGAATGGGGCTCCGGAATGGATCCCGTTCGCATCCAGAGGTACCACTGTAATTGCTTGATGGGAAGATGTCCAAAAGGAAAAGGAAATTCACTTCTTGGAAATCATGTATCATCAACATGTTCCTACCAAAAAAACCTGACAACAGTGTTTGCTAAAGAATCAGAAACTAGAGAAGGATTTGACTGCAGTTCCTGGTAGTTGTGGTAGCTTAGATGGTTCCCCTCTCTGTCGTCTCTCCTGTGACTGCTCCCAGACATTTATGTAAGCTTGGTATTCTGCTTTGACTGTACAATTTGGGGTGGTGGGTGTGCATTCGTTTGTATGCTAATTATTGCATTGGCTTTGGCCTTTTGAGATATCTTTTATTGAATCTTTGTACTTTACAATGCAATCCTATGCATGCCTGCTAGGAAATATGTGTGTATAGGACTGCAGCCCAAGCCACTTCTTCCAGGTCTGTTCAGCTGCTGTTCTCCTCAGTTTCTTGCTGAGACACTTCTTTCTTATTTAGTAAGAGGAAAGAAGAAACCAAATATTCCTTATTGGTATACCAGACCACATCATGATTAAGTGGATAGGACAGCAGCCATTATGTGAAGATTGCCTTTAAACTTTTTTTTTTTTTGCCTTTTTAAAGGTCAGGAACAATTTCCGGCATTTCTTCGTCTCCCCAAAGCCTCTCAAAACGGGCTATGACATTGTGACCTGGTTGGTAACTCAGCTCTCTGTCTGCTATACCGTTGCACCATTTGTTCTGCTAGCTGTTGAGCCTACAATTAAATTATACAAGTAAGCCACCACCTATTATTATAGCTGTTTTTTAAAAAAATCTTGGGGTTGCATTAGGCCATAACTTTTTCAGATTTGCCAGCCTGGTCCATGTTGGGTGATGTTTTACCATGCTTTGAAGGAAAGCTAAACTGGATATATTTGCTAGCTGTGTCACCTTTGGAAGCTCAGTTAATATTTGAAATGTATACTTGGGCCTTTGATGCGGAACTTTGAAAGGAATAAGAAGGGGCAATACATCTGTTTCATTCCAACTTGGAAAGTGCACTCAGCAATTTTATTTTTATATCTGTTGCTTCCCTTAAAATTCATAGTGTATGGCGATGGCAGGTTGTTGTGTAGATGGAAGAAGGGTGCAGAACAACACTGAGGGAAGTTCCATGTGAATGTTTGTTAGTAGGATGTGGTGAAAATTTAAAACTGAACTCTTGATGGAGTGTAGACTTATTAAATCTCCAGCTCAGGGCCCAAACGTACAAGGTTAGGTTTGGCAGATAGACCAGGGCACTTTCTAGAAATCCTGAGTTGTTGCTTTGAGAGGCATAATGGTCTGTTCCCCTTTTCAAAATACTTTGCTTTAGTAGACCAGGAAGAGCTACAACCCAGTATGTTGCATCTCAGTGAAATGCAATCACTACTTATCATTATAGGTTGTTTTAACCTGACTTCCACTTGCTTTATATTCCTTGCTACTTCTTTCTTTGTCCCCTACAGGTCACTGTACTTTCATATGCACATTTTATGTGTACTTGTGTTGCTGGTCCTTCCAATCAGATCTCAAAAACACCTGAAAAGGCAGCAGCTTCCCATTCAAGGCACGCACAACTCTGACATAAACGAGAAAGCAAAATGATACCTCAAAAGGGAATTGTCGCTCCTCTTCTGTGAGACACTGGAAAAATGGGTACGAGCAATACACCATTGCAGTGGCTTAATTTAAGAAACTTTTTAAATGGACAGAAAGGATATGGACTGATTACCAGTTAAGACTTGTTACTGGGTAATGTTTACATCCTTGATGGGAGAAGATAATATATATTTTTGTAAACTAAAGAGAGTAATGGAGTGTCTTTAATGTATTTAAATTCTTGCAGACGTCTATCATCTCTTAAAGTTAATCTTAATTATCCAGTGCTTTTGAGATGTAGGGGAAAGATAATCATTGGAGGTTAGCTGTCATGGACTGGCTAGATGCAGAGGAGTGGGGGTGGGCACTAGCTGGGGAACCCCCAAGGGAACCCCCAGGGGAAGAAGGCTCAGAGTGAGGGGACTGGTGGTGAGATGACAGTGAGTGGGCAGAGGGAGAAGAGGGAGCAGACTGCAGAGAGGAGGTGTTGGGAGCTGAAGAGGCAACAGGATTTAGTGAGCAGGGAGAGGCCGTGGCAGAGACAAGTCCTGAGTCAGAGGCAGGAAAGGAGGCTCAAGGGGGCGGGGAGGCAAGAGGCAGTGATCAGGCAGGCTGCTGAAGAAGCCAGGGAGTCTCACCCCCCCCCAAGAGGAATGAAGAGGGCAGAGCAAAGAGAGACAAGATGAAGGAGTCTCAGGCTGCTTGGGAAGGTCCCATGGGAGGAGGATACTTAGGCAAATGTGGGAAGACCTTCACTCCCCACAACTGCCTCATTCAGGCAGGATCTACTGGGAAGAGTTGCCATGCTGACTCAGCCTGAGCTGTTTTTTATTTCTTTGTATAAAGCATTAACTTCACTGACATCTTGTGAGTTATGGCTGACCTGACCCCGACGCCCACCTTGACATTAGCAGATGGGTGCCCTAAGCATCAAAATGTTTTTCTTCCCCCACCCCCATATAAAACGATTAAAGGTGAAAAGTAACTTGTAGTGTGTACCAGTAATTCCCAAATGGTGGGTTGCAAGGAATTTTGTGGGTGGGTTTCCTGGATGCACCAAAAGCTGCAAAGAATTTGTGATTCATGGTCCAGAAGTGTGGGGACCATTGGGCCCACATAGACAGTACCTCCCTGCAAAAAGGAAACCTACATGGGTGGGTCCTCTTTGGTAAAATTACCATAAGAACCATTAACCTAGAACAAACAAAGTGCATGCTGAGTGACTGGAAATAGGCATTAGGAAAGGGAAGATCATGGAGCAGGCTGGTTGTGGTTGCCCATACAGATATAAAATCAGGTATAGACCAAGGTGAGAAATGTGGGCTAGACAGGGTTTGATAGAGAATTACAGGCTTTTCCAGAACACTTCCTGTTTGACCTGTTTTCTATGCTGAGCTTGGGTGATTTCTCCCCACCACCACCACCACTGCCACTGAACTCCATAATCTTTTCCTGATACTACAAACCTTTCAAATGTTGCCTGCATTCATTATTTCATGATAGCCGAACAAAGATAAATTACTTTGGCACTTGGAAAATAACTCAGGGAACTTGGTGCGAAGCACTTGACTTAACCTTTTCGGAATATGCTTCCTAATATTCAAAACGATGCTTGTAGGTTTTTAAAATGTAAATAGTTCTTTCCATTTTTAAATAATATGTTTTCTTTATGAAGGGAACGAGATAAATTTAAACTTAATGGAACTGATGCAAACCCCTTGCCCTATAAGTTTGCTTCCTTGTCCCCTGCCTACTCTTAGCTCATAAGTGCTTCCCTCTGTCTGCCCACCTTGTTACCTATAACCTATCCCAATTCAGAAAGCCTACTGAGCCTCAAGGATGGAGTGCCCTGGTAGTGAAAGACATGGGTGTTGCACCTGTCTGCTACTTAGGCGCAATGATAATCTTTTTGCCCAAGTGGGTTCCACATTCCATCCACACTTCCGTTCTTTTAAAGTCCTGTTTGGCTACATGCTTCAGAGCTGAATTTGCTTTGATCTTTTTTTAATTTTGTTTTGCAGTGGGAAAGGTATTAAAATTCTGTATAAAGTTGAGGGATGAAAAAACGTTTTCCAGTTTCTGGTTGGAAAGGCGAGGGGAAGCTCTGATCTTAATGAGCTGGACTTTTCCAAATCAAATGATCAATGGAGAGTAGCATTAAATCACCTTTTAAAAGGTGCAAGTGAAGCAGAATGCCTTGGGAACCAATGTTACTGCTGTCTGTTATCACTTAATTGCTGTTTGGTCATATTATGTATTTATTTTGGACATTTTCACCCTGTTCTGCAATCCAGGGATTCTAAGCGCAAATCTTTGTAAAGCTTTTTAAAATAAATATTTTTTTTTATCCAAAGAGCATTTTTTGAATAATTATTTATTTGAGTATTTATACCCCATCCTTCCATTATAAGAACACTCAAGGTGGATCACAATATATGAAAAATAATTGAAAAGGTAGCAACAGAATAATTAGTAAAACCATGTGACCTTCCTGGAGATCTAAGATTCTGTTTTCTGGGTATGCTTTATTGATTGTTTATTAAGTTTTTATTTTTATGTATGATTTTTATGTATAATTTATGTTTATGTGTTTTTGTCTGGCTACAACCTATTTGACTGCCTTATTGATAAATTTTATTTACTCAAGCTAAATTTTGCTCAAGAGTAGACTCACTGAAATCAGTGGACCGAACTTAGCCATGCTCATTAATTTCAGTGAGTCTACTCTCAGCAAAACCTAGTTGACTTCCCCACCCCACCCCACCATGGCCTGCTCTATGCTTCCTTTCTGCTGCAGCTGCAGTCTGCCTATGAACTCGCCAGTTCCATTTAGGTCTCCTGGCTATTTGCTGTTGATAGACAGCAAATTTATTTGATTTGTCAGATCCTTTTAAAAAGGGATCTATCTAAATGCCACAAGTTTAAAAAGCTTCCCTTTCAAAAATGTGACTTCTCACATATTGGGAAAAAGCGCTGGCTTAAAAATGGCATATAGTACTGGTGACATCTAGTGGCCACTGCTGTACACTTGTCCAATCTACATTTAGTTTTTCAGCTGATTTTAATTGTGCGAGAGGGCAGGGAACTGGCAACCTTCCAGATGTTGAGATTCATAGAATTGTAGGGTTGGAAGGGATCACAAGGGTCATCTAGTCCAACCCCCTGCAATGGAGGAACCTTTCGTCAAACGCAGGGCTTGAACTCATGACCCGAGATTAAGAGTCTCATGCTCTACTAACTGAGCTTCTATTGGGCCTGGTCTCCCATCATCCTTGGCCCACAGATTTCCCTGCCATGGAGAAAGGAAATACTTCTGTTTTTGTGTGGTTGGGAGAAGGGTGTGGAAAGCAGTAAAGGAACACAACTTTCTGCTTGTCAGCCAGCAAATCCTATTGTCAAGCGTTTCTGCTCTTTTTTCCTCTTTGGGTCTACAAATCTCAGGGGGAAAGACTGGATTCATCCCCAGGAGTTGCCAGTTGCTGACCCCTAAAACGAAATTGAAGGACTCAACATCATTCTTGGCAAGGGGTGGTTTCAGGCTTCACCCTTTTACCCTGTTTGGATTTGAGCACCTTTCCAACACAGGAAGGTGAAAGCGTTTGGGGTTTTTTAAGTTTGGAGAAAAAGGTAACTGAAGGCTGGGATGTGATATGATCTAGTTGAGATTCTTGCATTTGCAGGGGGTTGGACTAGATGACCCTTGGGACCCTTCCAGCTCTATGATTCTATGCTAGAAGTCCATAACATTAGCAGAGTCGGGAAAGAAGGGACAGAGAGAAACTCGTCTAGCTTTTGCTCTTGCTCCCACTTTGTGATACTGGCAGCACAATGCCAGAGGAACCTAGGAAATCACCATTTACTGAAACAGCTGGTCTGTCTAGCCCAGTCTTGTCAACACTGGCAGCAGCTCTTCAAGTTTCCAGGCAGAGGTCAGCCCTACCTGGAAATGCCAGGGATTGAACCTCAGACCTTCTGCTTGCAAAGCCATATACTCTCTCTTATGGGTTGCATCCCTTTGCCTGATTACCTTATGATGCATGAATGTGAAGATGTCTGGGTCTGTGTTACCTGCATGAATTGAGAATGACCACCCAAAACATGAGAAAAGAGGTTGCCCCGCTTATGGAGAAAGAGCTGACTGCTGCTGGGCAAACCTTTGCTATGTGCAAGGCAGAGTGTGTCCAATGCAGACCTTCACGTGAATGTTGTCATCAAGCAATCTCATTCCAAAGTCTGGTCAAGGGAGAGGAGCATTTTCAGGTTCTGAGGCGGTGTGTAAAGGTATGTTCCCTGTGCAGCTATCCATCTAGCAGTGGACAGCTTAGTTGGTTAGAGCATGATGCTGATAACACCAAGGACGCAGGTGTGGTAACTGTATGGGACAGCTGTGTGTTCCTGCATTGCAGGGGGGGGGGTTAGGCTAGGGTCCCTTCCAACTTTACAATTCTATGATTCTATGACCAGTCTTGGCTGTAGGAGATGAATTGGAGAAGGAAGGAATCCTAGGAGCTCTTCCAAGAGCTGGGACAGCAAGGGGAGAACTTGACACTACTCTGCTTTTCAGACCCTTCCATGACAGGATGGCGAACAATGCTGAGTTTACGGGTGGAAACTCATCTCTGGAATGCTGTTTTGTTTTGTGCCCAAGGCTTGGTGTATATAAAACTGCAATGCAGCCTGTCCGTTCAGCAGGAGCCTGGGTGGGTGCCTGGAGGGGAAGTGGCTCTCATACCATTTTTTGTTTTATTTGCAGTATTTATATAACACAGTTCTCTGGGTGGCTTTCAAAGAAAATGGTGGCATGTAATTAAAAATACAATACCAGAAAATAACAGTTTGCTGCATAATTGGAGGTTTTCCCCCAACCAAAGCAGAAAGGGAGACAACTGAAAATATAAAGTGCACTGTCATTAAAAGCAACATTGAAAGGTGAGCGAGACTTGTGGCAGGCACTCTGCAGCTGGGGTGCCACCATCAAAAGGGCCCTCTCCCTGGTCACCCTTTCCCTTATTTCACTTGGCAGAGGCACCCATTTGGCGGATTGGGGCCTGCTGAAGAAGACCTCCGGATACAGACAGGTACATGTAAGGTAAAGTGATCTTTTCAGTCTCCTTGTCATAATCTTGCTGACTGCGGCACAACTTTCTACAAGGTAGCCAGCTTTGAGTTAGGAATGGACGAATCTGTCAGTTCTCATTTGTCTCTGTTCCTCATTTTTCCTGTTTCATTTTCTCTGTATTTTTGCATGCGTTTGCAATTTTTTAAAAAGAAAAAAAAAATCCTCATGAAGGTGACTAATAGGTACAATAAGTGGTAGTGATGATTTGTAAAGACACTTTCCCCTACATAACTTTTTTTTGTACAGGTTTTTTGGTGGAGAATTGCACCACAATATTCAGAGAAGTGTGAATTTCATAAATAGCTACATTTTGGTTTGTGTATTGTTTTGGGAAGTGTGACTTAATGGAGGATCACACTGAAATATAAACCAAACTAAATTTCTCTCCCATCCTTGGCTACAATTCCTGGAGTTTTCAAGGATCTCTTGTGATAACGGCAACTCCCAAACTCTCTGAAGTTTACTTACCCCCCCCCAAACTCTGCATTAATTTATTGAGGCCAACTATGTGCATCCCTCCTCCTTCTTTAAAAAAAAAAAAAGATTCCACCATGTTTTGTTTTATCTCGGATCAGTCATGGTGAAGTAGAAATATTTGCTAGAATATTTTAAGATGTGAAACCACTGCTATGGTTTCAAGGAACTTTATAATACACTCTGGGACATCTTCCAAAAATCCTTGTGTGTGGATAGAGATTTATTTTATGGGAAGTGATTATGATGTTGCTATGAGATTAAAACGGTGTCTCAGCAGCTACTTCAGATAAATGCTTGCTTCATCCTTGCTAAAACATTGCAGAAGAATGAATAGTAGCTGTTTTCCTAAAGAATAAAGCATATGGCTGAAAGCAACTTGACATATTCTCCCCAAAGAGCATGGAGTGCAAAGAGCACAGCTGCCTGGAGGGTGGAATTGCTTTTGTTTCTCCCGTTGAGCTTTTTGTTGGAGAACTTGGAACCATAATTGGTTGCTTATAATCAGCCTAATGGCTTGGATCATAAAACAGGTTAATGTGAGGAAGTTAACTGGAAGGAAAGTTTCCCAGCCTCTCAAGTCAAATTTTGGGCGATTAACCTCTCCTATAGAAGCCCCCTTGTACCCCATCCCCCATTGTTCAGGAGACCCTCCCAGATCTTCTAGATAAGTTTTTTTAGGGGAGTGTGTGGGGTGAGGGGAGGAGATGGGAAGCTTTTCCTTCTGTGAACTTCCGTAAGTTAGCTTATTGTAGGAATTTACCGTGGTGCTAAGGAGGTTCTGTCAGCACATCCTGCCCTCTCTTTCCCCTGTGTGCTGTTCTATGGTTTCTCCAACCTACCCTGAGCCAATTGGGTAGGGGCCTTAGGGCAGGCATAGGCAAACTCAGCCCTCCCGATGTTTTGGGACTACAACTCCCATCATCCCTAGCTAACAGGACCAGTGGCCAGAGATGATGGGAATTGTAGTCCTAAAACATCTGGAGGGCCGAGTTTGCCTATGCCTCCTGAGTGGGAGGGCAGCAGGCAACCCCTTTGTGCTAGTGTGCTTTGTGCTTGCTTCTGCTGGCAGGACTCATTAGCTGAACCCAGCCCAAAATGTGGCAACAGAGGTGGTTTTAGGGCAGCGCAACCAGTTCCCCCCTACTGGGCACTGAGCAGAGAGCGTAAGCATCTGCCCAGCTATGGGAAAGAGGCAAGAGGGCTCTGACAGGGTCCTAGAGTCCTCCCTCCTCCTTCCCAAATCGTAGTTAGCACTTGTCTAGCTTTGGGAAGGAGGTGCAGGTGCTCTGAGACCCTGCTAGAGCACTCACAGCTTCTTCCCCAAGTGCAGCACAGTACAAGGGATAGTGGGCAAATTTTGGCCTCGCTCAAGGCGCCATAGTACCAAGTCTGCCCCTGGGGCCAACCTACCTTTTTGACACATCATGGTGTTTGTGGGGTGGGCTCAGAGATGATTATTGCTGGTCTCTGTGGCATTGCTCTGTCGACCCAGCTGGATGTAAATATGGGTAGGCCCAAAGAAGAGTGCCATGGCGGCGGTGGGCAGAGGACATACACAGGCTCTGATGTTGCATTAAAGGCAGTCTGTGGGAGAGAAGAGCAAATCGACTCTAAGCATTACAGAGAAGGGCTTGTCTTGGTGAAAAGCAATGAGTTCCATTGCACAGTGCAAGACCTGCTGCATTGTCTTGTTGACATGCCCTTAGAAAGCATCAAATCCATTTAAACTTGAGCACCTATTTCATATATGAAGGATCACCATGACGCTGAAATATTGGAAGCAGGAAGGGAAAAATATATGGCCTACCAGTTCTTGTTGAACTTCAGCTTCTGTCAGCCCCAGGCAGCATAGCCCATGACCAGGGCTGATGGGAGTTGTAGTACAAAATATTTCTGTTGTCCAAAAACATTAGCCACCCCAAGGAGTCTTAGGTTTATGTGACCTATTTATTGAGGGTTGTTCAATATCGCAACTGTGCCTATAAATCTGCTTTGCATCAAGCAGGACTCCTATGATCTTATACATGCATCTATTTTATACAGTCGCGGCTCAATTAATGAACAGTCATCTTTTCAATCTCTGTAGAAATTCAGAAGCAGTTGACACTTGGGCTTCTGTCCTAGGCACTGTGGTTATCTGCCAGGGGTGGGGTGGGGTTGAGGTAGCAGAACATTTCTGCTGCAATGATCAAATTTTTCTACTTTGTTTGAGATTTTATTTCCCAGTGGATTAACGTTTCAGGGCAGCATCGCAGGCGGAGGGCAAAATTCAATTAATTGAATATGAAATATTTATAACCCTGCTCTATATGTCTATCAGAGAAAGGTCCTTAATAAATCTTCTCATTAGAATGGACTAGTGACTCATGCCTCTCTGCTTCTGTAGTCGTTGGGTATTTAAATTCAATTAATCTGCTGTCCTCGTGAATATGATTTAATTATTCGGAGGGGAAAAACCACTGCATTTGCAAGATAACGACACATAGGGAGAGGACAAAAAAGGAATACCCTCTTTTCCCTTTAACAATGGCGGCTGATACCCACCAGAACTGGTGGGGTTGTTAGGAGTCTGTGGGGATGTGACCAATGAGCAGGTACGGCCTTGTTGTTCTCGTTGTGTCTCCACCCTCCTCGCTTGAGAAGTTACTATGGAAACTTAAGGATTGGCCTCTAGGCCCAAGGTGCCCTAAACTGTCTCTAGATATAGTTTGCTTGCAATTCCCATCAACACCAGTCAGCATGGTCATTGATCAGGAATTATAGGAGTTGTACAACAACTGGAGGGCCCAACATTGGAGAAGGCTGCTCTACAGTAAAGATTCCAGCGTGTGCCATTGGGGGGATATACTGTGCATTTGTATTACTGTTCAAGGGTGTGCAAAGACATTCGGAAATAAGGAACAGAACCTGCAAACTCTGTTCCTTCTAAACCTTGTTGTGGCACAGCTGCCCTGTTGTCGCTGGGTTGGCAACTTTTCTGTAGCTGTGTTTTTAACTGTAGCTTAGTGTGCAGGCACCAGCAGGTTATCAGGGCGGCCCACATTTTTCTAGCCAGTTGGCAACCCTGTTTATTGCCAGGTTGCTTCCCAGGCTTTCTGTTTACTTCTATCCAGTGGCTTTTCTTGAGTTCAGCTGCCTTTTCCCATTCCTAGTATACCAGCCAGCTTATCCATTCAGTTTTGTTTTCATTATGCTGACGTCCTATGGTGTTTCAAATTGAGTGTAATGTTCCCTCCCCTCAATTTTAGGCCCCTTTAAGGCACTTTTGCTCTGCCAGCTCTGGTAAACTGGCGTGTGTTGTGAATCCAGAGAACAGTTTTAGCGAATGTGTAATGGCATGCAGTGAACTGCTTTTTAGGCCACATTCATACCATTCATGTAAAGCGCTATGATGCCACTTTAAACATCACCGGTTCCCCCAAAGAATTATGGGAGCTGTAGCACAGTTAGAAGTCCCCTATTTCCCTCCCAGAACTACCGTTTACAGCAGAGCTTTCCAAACAGTGTATCGCGACACGTTAGTGTGTCGGCTGCAATGTGTAGGTGTGTCACGCAGCGCTCCCTGTGCTCCTCACAGGGCTGGAAAGGGGTTAGTTTAAACTGGTTTGCTAGTAAAACTGTATTACTGTGTTGCAAAATGATGCATGTCTAAAAAGTGTGCTGCCAACATGAAAAGTTTGGAAAGCTCTGGTTTACAGAGTGGTCTAACAATGGGTCCCCCTTTATGGAGAACTCCAAAAACTGTTAAGGGGAATAGTGGCCTCTTTACAACTCTCAGTATCCTTAAACTACTGCTCCCAGAATTCTTTGGGAGAAGCCATGATTGTTTAAAGTAGTACCATAGTGCTCTAATATGGCCTTAGTCTGCTGTCAGTTTTAGTGTTCTCATCCACCACCTGCTTGGTTTCTGTGAATGTGTTAAAAAGCAACAACCAGCAAACTTTCTAGTTGACCCTGCTATCCTGTGGCCCTGCCTCGGATGGTATCCCAGGGGCCATAGGATGCTTCTGAACACAGTCTCTGAGGTGCTTTGACCTCAGAGAGGATCCAGTGTTAGATTCCCCTTCCCCAGTGCTGTGACACCTTCTGCAACCTGGACCCTTGCAATGCCAAGAGGTAGGGAGTGGACCAGGGAAGAAATGGAACGTAAGGATCTATAACCTTCCCAATTCCCTGTCACACACCCAAACCACAAAATAAATCACACCAACTCTAGAGCTGGTTTCGTTTCAGCTCTCCCTACCCCCATCCGATAAGAGGTAAACAGTTTTAAAACCACTGGAAAAAGGACAGGAGAGCAAAACTGTTCCTCTGCCCCAATTTCTACCCTGTCTGCAAGATCCCAACAGAGTGTTGGAGGAGGATAAGGTGAATTAGGCATATTCAGTTCCCCTCCACCGCCCAATACTTCTAGCCTAAATTATTTTTAATTATTTTGTAATGTTTAGCTGAGTTATAACAATATGGCTTTATCTGCTGTACATTTGTTGTCTTTTAGATAGTTGTTTTGATTTTATCTTATCTGTTTTTATGCTTGTTCTTCATTTCATGCTTTTTATGCTATCTTGTGAGTGAGGATACATATCCTGAAAGGTGGCCTATGAACACTTTAATAAACTGCTTAACATTTCTGGACCACCGATCTCTAAAATGAGGGCTAGAAGCTCTCATAACGACAAGTATGCTCATAACCTGAGATGGCAAACTCTTCCGGATACATGAAATAAGGTGGTATTTTATGAAAAGCTATGGATTTTGGCTGGAGAGTTGGGGAATTATCACAAATGGTTTCTGACGTTCAGAAGCCATTAGAGATTATTATGGGCAATACCATTTACAACATCCCCTCAGTTACGAATTCACTAGATACTATTTGGCAAGCTACTACCTCAGGCTTGCTCCTGTAGAGATTTGCCTTTATCAGACCACTGTAAAGATCAGTGAGAAAATGGCTTTCTTCAGATGACCTGCTAAACCATGGCTTTTCCTATCATCATAATAAGAATGAGCCCTGTGTGAATCTTGGGCTTTCATGCTCCCCACCCTCCGGCACTTTTGCTTCTGTTTTTTGATCAACTGCAGTTTAGAGTTACAGTACATTCAAACCTTAAAGTGTGGTTTTAATCCTAAACAAGCCATCTTTATACTTTGTTGGTTTGAAGTTGGCTTGGTTTAAACAAATTATAGTTAAGATTAGCCACAGTTTGCCAGATTTCAACAACACCGGCAGGGTATGCACAGGTTAACAATACAGTATACTATTGAGCCCAATACAATATGTTAATGTTAATTTATAATGCCCTAAACAACTTAGACGCCAAATAATGGAATACTTCCTATATCAGCCTGCTCATATATGGAGATCTGTCTGCAAAGGAAACCCTTCTTGTTGCCCTGTGGAACATCCCATCAGATGTCAAGGAATAAAACAACCATTTGACTTTTAGAAGATATCTGAAGGCAGCCCTGTTGAGGGAAGTTTTTAAAATTTTATGTTTTACCGTGTTTTTAATATTTTATTGGGAGCTGCCCAGAGTGGCTGGGGAAACCCAGCCAGATGGGTGGGGTATAAATAAAATTATTATTATTATTATTATTATTATTATTATTATTATTATTATTATTTGAAGGCTCTTGTACATTGAAACCCATGGGGCCTCCTCTGAGTTGGTGCACCATCTATGGAACTTCCTTCCCTTGGAAGTACAACTGGCACCTTCAATACTTGGTTTCTGGCACCAGTTCCCAATTTATCTCTTCAGCTGGACTTTCAGAAAAGATTATTTTTAAAAAATATGGTTGTATTTTAATATAGGTTTAAAAATGCTGGTGGGTCTTTCTTGCTTTGCTGTACTGATGTCTAGATGGTAAATGGCCCAGTAATCATAACTGATGAAGGGCAGTTTGGACAACAAATGACTAAATTGTGAATTACTCAAATGCAGGAAAGAGGAGGAGAACCTTGTAAGTTGCCCCAAGATCGTTAGAGGAAACTTGGGACATAAATGTAATACAAAACAAATGCCCCAGGGTTAATCCCTGGCATCGAAAACTGGTGAGCCCTGGTGACCTCTGCTAAAAATTAAGCTCTTCAGACTCTTCACGTACCATATTTACTTGAATGTAATGTGCCATCGAATCTGATGCACACCCTTATTTTCACGACGTAATTTAGCAGAAAAGAGGTGCACATTACATTCTAGTAAATACGGCATTTATCCTTTGGTGGAGCTGTGGAAAGAATTTATTCACTCTGACTACAGTGTTACCTGGGCTGCACTCTGTGGTTCTGCCAAGGCATTTTACAGGATGACATTTCTTTGGTATGAATCCTGATGTTGCCTTCTCCTTTGGATGCTAAAACGGAATCACCTCTAAACCATTTAGTGCTTTGATTTTCACATGCTGGCCTAATACTCATTACCTGTGAATTCTTTGAAACCAGAATGTTTCTAAGCAGCAGCTGAACCATCAGGGATGGTTGTGAATTGCCTTCTTTTATTTTACATTATTCTCTCTCTCTCCTTCCTAACATTAGGCTGAAAATGAAAATACCTCTTCAACCCTAGTATTATTACCCCTATAGATGGCACCTTTAATGTGTACTATTCATTGTCATAATAGCTGCACCTGTGTGGAGCAAGCATATTGGAACTGCAGCAGCTGTGGACTGTAATTGCAAAGCATTATTTTCTGTTTCTCTCTGAATGTGTGTGCATGTGTGTGCGTGCGCGCACACACACACACATGGTTGCACTGCTGTGAAGATCCATTTATAATTATTCCTTCCATAGGGCTCCCCATAACTATGATTACATGGTAGGTAGGGCCAATGAAAAGGCGTGGAATTAGCGTTGCCAACTGACCAGGACAAGACCACAGACTGCATGCTAAAGATGCAGATAAAAAGCTGGCCACTCTGTAAAGAATGATTTGCTCTGCTGATCAGTCACCATTAAGCAGGTCAGCAAGTGGTATCAGAAATGTTTAATTTGTTGGTTTGTTTCCTGTAATTTAATTGTTCCCCTTCATCATTGCATGCAGCCCAATTCCTCCAGGCTCTGCTTTCTCTTCCTTTTCTGTGACTTGCTTCCAAGAAAGGCCCTGATTCAAAAAAGCCTGCATTGCCTCACCTCCTCTCTTCTGCCAGGTCCTTAGACTCATGCCACTCCACAGCTCTTCACTTGCTTGGCTCACCATCCCAACAAAATGGCCCCCTTTTCTAATCCCCAGCCCTAGCTCCCCCTCCAGGCTCAGATGAAGGTAACACCTCTGGTGAACAAAAGAGGGTAGGCAATTTTGCTCACATATAAAGTCATCCTTGCCTCCTTTTTCTCTGCAGGCTATGGAGCTAAACAATGGGATGACTTCTACCTCTTCTAGAGGTATGGTTTTTTTTGATGAAAACAGGGACATCCTAAGGACAAGTGTGACATTCTGGTGTAGCAAAATTAACATTTGAGGCTAGCTCAATAATGGCTACCAAAAGGGTGGGGCCTGCTTTATATACATAGCTGTTATCTGTTAAAGCAATACGTATGCATAAACTTCCTCCAATCTAAAGTTACAATACTAATTATACCATGTATGGTCTTTCCTTCATTATCTGTTCATTAGGCAAGGAAACAAAGGACTCTCTTGTCAAATGTAGACACTTAGGAATGTTGTTAACAACATTGGGACTAAAGCTGCTCCTAGCACAAGATAAGGCACAAGGCCTCTAGCCTGGCTAGTTAGCTGAGCTTATAAGTCTCTATGGGCATCACTGGGATCAAATGAGAAACTGGGATGGCTTCTGTAAATCTAGGACTTTCCCTGGAAAATAGGGACACTTGCATAATCTGCTCAACAGTTTCTGTCTTTAGCTGCTTTTCTTCCACCATTCAGTGTATCCAGAGGCAGCCATCGTAGATTCTAGGACATTCATTCAGCTCTTTTCTTACATGAACACACACAGAAATATTCATGCAGGTTAGTATAATTTAGAGAGGGAAGGAGGCAGGCAGGTGAAAAAGACACCAGGGCCTACTTCCGCCAACTGCCCTGTGAGGAAAATTTTCAAGAGAGCAAGAGATAGGCAGGCAAAATTCTCCTCAGAGCATGCTGCAGGTGATCCGTTGCCTCCCCTCATAGGGCCATTGATCATTGTCCTATGGGAACGAGTCCAGGAGAGACAGGAAAATATAATCTCAGGGTCTCCTCCTGCTAGACTCTCCTCTGCCCCCATGGGGCCATCTGCCCCCAACTACCCTGTGGGAAGGTGTGGGCCAGAGGCAGTTAAAATGGCTGCTGTCTCGTCAGCAGCCCAACAAGCAATCAGTCAGAACAGGTTGTTGCTGAAGATACCTTCTACCACATGTGGTGGACTTGTAAAGAGGTTAAAGGCTTTCTGGGAAATGGTATATAATAAGCAAAAGAAAATGTTTAGAAATACTTTTGTTAAAGAACCAGAAGCCTTTTTACTGGGTATAGTGGGTGAAGGGAAGATAAAAGACTGTTTATGTATGCAACAACTGCAGCAATAATTCTTTTAGCCCCAAAATGGAAACAACAAGAAGTACCAACAAAAGAAGAGTGGCAGATGAAGAGGATGGACTTTGCAGAACTGGCGAAGCTGACAGGAAAAACCCAAAGCCAGCATGATCAAGTATTCCAAAAGGACTGGAGTAAATTTATACGATATCTGAAAGATTATTGAAAGCAGTTAACATTACTAGCAGGGTTGTCTGAAGACTTGTAATGAGAAATTTTCTATCTTTCTATTTTTATTTAAATTTTGAGCTATTTTGTAATGAGTGCAATTAGAATTGGAAAACGTACAAAATGCAATGATATAAAGGTTAATTTTGAAAGCCATGAGGCAGGAGGGAAGGAAGTCGATAGGCTCTAAAGAGCCAAAGCGGTAAAGTGGATAATGATGATGTGAATGTATAACATTAAATGGAAAATAAATAAAAATTATATGTGTGTGTGTGAACAGGTTGCTGCTGAGTAAGGGCAGGGTTAAGAAGAAGCAGAAAGCCTCCAGTGTGAGACTTTATTTATAAGTCCAAGGGAAAGGCATGAAAGAGCTTTTTCTTAAAAGAATTGATGCAGGTAGCAGCAAGTAATATGTGAGGTGGTTGGGTGTGAAACTAAGGAAATCTGCTATAATCCTTAAACCATGATGTGCCAAATGCATGCCACATGGCTTAGTGGAATATAATTGTTTTAGAAAACCCCTTTACACTACTAGTGATTAGGTGAAAAGTGGTTTTTAAGCTCTAGGAAAACAGATGTCGCCTGGACAGTGAAAATGCCATGTGGTTCATACCACCGAAATGCTGGAATGGCTAACGTACAAGACAAACTTTGACACGGCGTGGATAAGCCCTGACTCCGGAAGGTGGAGATTGTTATGAGTGTGGGGTGTTTGCTGTCCCCTCAGGACGAGCTGGAATTCTCTAGACTGACAAAGAAACACAATCAGCTACTGCAAGAAACAAGGACGGCTATATGTACTCTGAGGAAATGGAGACCCTGTTCCTGTGACAGAAGAGTCCAAATGAACCGTTATAATTTGAAACTGTTAATGATTTTATTAATGCCTCTTCACATTACTTTCAAACTGTCTTTGAAGCATCTGTATCCTGACAAGCAGGATATAAATAACTGTAAATGAATAAATAGTCACTATAATAATCCAGACACATTAAGAAAGAAGAAAAATCGGACGCAAGCAACTACTGCCCATTTGATCTTATCCAATCAGTCCCTGTCATATTGTGACTTTACTTTTCAGATTAGAAGTTGAAGTTAATAAAAATATTGTTGCAGAAAAGCAAGGCTTTTTTTTAGTAAAGGTATATTAAAGCATTTTTTAAAGGGCTGTACCACCACCCACCCATTCACCATCCCTTTTACAGATGGCAAATATGTGTGTGCTGGAGACATTTTTGTGTGTGGACTTTTCCCAACACTTCCTCTTTAGCCGAGCAAGTCAAGTGGACAGTAGATATAAGAATTGCTACTAACCAAAAACATACCAAAATATTGAAGTAAAACCTGTGGTAGTTCTGCCATTTTGCCGTAGTGCACCGTTGCTGTTCATAATATGGCCTTGCAAGCTTTGGCTTGTGCCAACTTTAGGACAATGGCTGAGAGATGGGGGTTTCAAGGAATGTTGTTCTCTGTGGATAGGGCAACAAGTGATGTGAGCTTTTGATCTGCTGTGATAAATCACAAGAGAGCCAGTATGGTGTAGTGCTTGCTGCATCAGACCGGGACCTGAGAGGCTACGATTCAAATTCCCCACTTAGCCATGAACCTCACTAGGTGACCTTGGGCCGGCTGGGATCTCTCAGCCTAACCCAAATCACAGGGTCGCTGTGAGGATAAAATGGAGAGAGGGGAAAACCACATATGCCACTTTGAGCTGCTTGGAGGAAAGGCAGCATATGAATGTATTAAATATATTTTTGTAAGCTTCAGCTTTGAGAAGTTTTGTGCACCACTGGCAACTGTGTCTGGAAGTGTCAGGAGAATTCATTTTGCTACCCAGACATTTGAGAAGACATTGCTCATTTGAGTGTCATGGCATCCATCTGTCTCGGGAGACAATGGAGGAGTCTGCCTTTGGAGTGATGTCAAGGGCGTATTATGGGACCCGTTGGGCCTGTTATATTGCTAGGTTTTGCAAACAAGCTACAAAACCTGGCAGCTCTGCAAAACTGACCACCATTTGTGTGTGTGTGTGTGTGTGTGTGTGTGTCACCAAATGTGCTCCTTGGCCAGGGCACTATTTATTTTAAGGCCAACCCTTTCAGAAGTTCTCAGATACATCTGCAGACTCTCATCTGAGATCCGCTCCACAGATTTAAATCACAGTCAGCGCACATTTAAAGCAGATGACTTTCCCCCAGATATCCTGGGAATTGTCGCTCTGTGAAGGTAAAACTGCATTTCCCTGGATTCTTTGGGGAAGTCATGTCCTCTAAATAAATGTTGTGGATCTGCTCCAACGCAGAAATCTACTGTTATGTCGTGGCTCCGACACAGGATGGCAGTCTCTCCACAAACTTTGCATGACTGCTACAGAAAGCAGAATTTCTCTGTGGGTGTAGTTTTAAAATAAATAGATACAAATTAATAAGCGCATAAAATAGGGTTGCCAGGATACCCCAAAATGCCAAAAATCGACTTGCCTAAGATCCAGGACAAAGCGCTGCCTTTCAGAAATTCCACCTTTGAAATCTCTATAATGTCTGGGAAAATCCGTACATTTGGCAGCCCTAGCATAACACAATATCTTGTTCTTTGTTTTGGAGCAAGAAAAAGTTGGAACAATTTTTTTTATGAAAAATGCATTAAAATATCTCAGAGCTGCATATGAACAGTATTGTAGTCCTTTGCGAGTCTTACCATACTTCACTTCCCACGGAGGGGTGTGTGTGTTTATTCTCTCAGAGGGGCCTATAGTACTGTATGGCAGGGTAGAAATCATTAAATAGATACAAATAAAGCAAAGGTATGTTACACCATTCTTTTTCTAATATACTTGCTTTTTGAAGCAGCCTGCAAAAACTTTTCAGATCCTTTCAAACCACTGAGTTTTGTGCACTTGCTTTTGGTTTACAAGAACTCCCCCCCCCCCAAAAAAAAACCAACCCTCCTAATACCGGGTGGAATTCACTTCATTGTTTATTTCAATAATTTATAAGCCACCCATCATTCAAAAATGATAGTGGCGGTATTTAAAAACAAAAACAACAAATAAAAACGAAGCAGATAGTTAAAACAGTAGAAGGACATTACACCTGTCTGTAAAAACCAAAAGTAGTCAGTCTGCCTACCAAACTTTGGGTATTTTGTTTGCATGATGTAGGTATATCAGTCAGGATGCTGAAATGGACTAAAGCGCTTTTATATTGCACAGAAAAGAGACAGGAAGCATTATGAACCCTGTGGTGCAGACAGGGGCTGCATCTGAGACACTTGCCTAAGGTCACCTAGTGAGGTAGCACTTGAAGGATTTTTTCCACAGGTATTACTTATTCGGGACGCGGGTGGCGCTGTGGGTAAAAGCCTCAGCGCCTAGGGCTTGCCGATCGAAAGGTCGGCGGTTCGAATCCCCGCGGTGGGGTGCGCTCCCGTTGCTCGGTCCCAGCGCCTGCCAACCTAGCAGTTCGAAAGCACCTCCGGATGCAAGTAGATAAATAGGGACCGCTTTCTAGCGGGAAGGTAAACGGCGTTTCCATG